CACCACCACCACCACCACCACCACCACCACCACCACCACCACCACCAACAACTTAAGTGATGCTTTGATTCTAGAAACGTGCTGACGAGGCCACCTCGGAGGAGAGCGACTCCGAGGTTGGTTGGAGTAAGGGCTCCGCGAGCGAGGTGTCCTCTCACGGCGGCACTCCCACCAGAGCAGCTCCGAAACGACGACGGACTCTGATTGCCCCCGCAGCCAGCCCCTCCACTCCGGTCCCATCGGCAAGTGTTGTTATTTGGTCATTTGAATCGTCAACTACTTGGGGAGTTGGGGTGTAAGCACGACAATCAGCCTGTTTGCCGCGTATTCACGCTCACTTCATGTGGTAGACGGAGCGATGGTCTTGACGCGCTGGGTCCTACCTTAACCCCCACCCAACGCATAATCCCGCTCCCCCACGCCTTATTCATCTCAAGTTCAAAACGCACGAAATCGACAATGTTTGGTGTTGGAGTTTGACTTCACCCTCATACCTTTTAGGTGAGAATGCGACGGAGACAGAAGACACTGATGCCTGTGGCCTCGGGACGTCACTCAATACGGAATTACTTCAAGCGCAATGATGAATGACAATTTTTACACCCACTTGTGATTATGCATTTATGACGAAACGCATTTATCCTGCAATGTGCTAACAGTATATCTTCCTATTTGGGGATTTTTAGCCTTAAAATAAATTATTTACTTCCTTTGCCTTATTCCTCTTTATCGGGCTTTGGTCGTGTAAGAAGTTTGGTTCATCACCCGGTACTCAATCAGCTGGGTAGTCAACGCGACCCCTTTCAGTGGCATATGGAAATGGAGTCTTGGAACTGGGAAAGCCCTCCGCAAGACACCAACGATTATGGTGGAGGGGACAAGAACTGCGTTCCAAGGTGTCATCTGTTTCCACGTGGTCCAGAACACGGCTGCGGGATTCGACTTTTGTGTCATACGCTTGAGGTGATCACCACTGCGAGTTACTTGCATGGAAGAAGTGACTACGCAAATGTACGATAGCACATAAAGGGACCAATGCGAGTAACAAGGATCGCGTTCTTGAGGAAATCAAGACATACATCGACGCACCTTCCACCCGGTGACACATTGGCGGATTTGGGTAGAAGCATTCATTGCGAAAATCTCGTATTGAGTCAAAATAGAACTACAGCTACAAGTTAGGAAGCAGCAAGGAGTTTAGATATGGCTGAATTTCAGCAAATTTAGCGAACTGGCACAGCGAAAGACACTAACTGCACCTCCAAACTCTCAATTTTGTCCAGTAAGTAAGTTCATTTTCATCCTCTAACTCTTACAGTGCTCCGAAAGTCCTCCTTTCAAGAAGGTACCGTAATCATCACCGAATTCAACGAAAAAAACGAGTCTCCATCGAAATTTTGTCCACGTTGGAATGAGACTCTCTTATTCAACATTACCCACACCGATAACTGTGGTAAACCCGGTCAGCCCAACATTGATTCATCGCTCCAATCAACCATGAGCAATTGAACACACCCATAACCACTCCCCCTCGGCGTGACCCCCACTGTTTACACAGCCCACTCGATTGGCTGACGTAAACGGTTATGGTCGCCGTGACGAACCCCTTACAACCTCCACTTAACACGAAACAGCTAAACGGAGATCTGACACGGAATTAATATGAAGAATAAGCAACACAAGACCGCGTTTTCGACGGCTTCATTCTTCATTTTAAACACACCAGCAACAGTAAAACACCATGGAAGCGGGAAACAGGCAAATTATCCACAACCATTTACTGTTAGGGCATAAAGAAACAATTAAAACGCGCCGACAGAGAGCGCCACCTAGGAGATCTGTGCGTCAACCACCGTGGGGGCTTTTATGACGGCGGAAGGGTCACCCTTCAACTTCCAGGGTGTACCCTTGTAAGTAGCCAAGTGGTTGCCGTCCACACGCAGGTCTGGTTTCACCTGCTCAAAAATCTTTTTCTTTGGGTTTAGCTGATCGTCCGGTTCACCTGTGGCGAGAAAACACACAACATTAAGTCCGGGGATGGGCAATAAAATTGCCCTAAAAACGGGTGACTACTGTGTTATCGTGAAGCTGGCGATAACAATGCCGATAAAGTCAGCCATAGCGCACTCAACTGATTCCGCTGAATAGAATCATGCAGGTCATAAAACCTATATCTCGGCAATCAGTCTTCGCGGTTAATATTGAGCACGTTTTGGTACCAGCGGATTTGCAAAATCTCGTTGAGAGAGAGAGGGAGGAAACCCACGATCAGGGCTCCAAAACCATCAGGGTTATTGCGAAGCAAAGACAACCCACCTGGATAGCCGTCAACGTAGACAGTGTCGCCAAGCTTAGGCGGCGTGTCGCTGACAATGACGAGCGGTTCGACCTTCTGGTTTGCGTCGGTGGCGCACATTAACATGCCCTCCGAGAGGATGCCCCGCATTTTCACCGGTTTCAGGTTGCACATGAAAATGCCCACGAGTCCCTGCATTTTCTCAATCGGCACGTTGTTCACCAGGCCGCTGATTATGGTCCGAAGATGGCCCTCACCGAGGTCGACCTGAAAAGGAGGCGCAAATCAGCTCGGGGCTGGCGTTCAAACGCGCTCTCGACGCGCGACACACTCACTTTTTCTACGTAGAGTGAATCAGCGTCGGGATGGCGCTCAACTTCTTCGATTTTGCCCACGCGCATGTCAAGTCGACTGACATCCACGGAGGAATTGCTGTCCGCGGGCTTACCGCCTTTTTTCTCGGCTTTCACCGGTGTCGGCTGCTTCGCAGTTTTGGTAGGAGCTGACGCGGTATGTGGGGGATCTTGTTGTTCTGAATTAGCCAGTCAGAGAAAATTACATTAGACACCACAATAGCAATTCAGGAATTTACTTTAATAATTACTTCCAGGGATTAATCTCCCAATCTTTCTAAACACAAAGCAACTATCAATCTAACTTATTAACGAAGAGCAATTAAGCACAAATTTCTATTTAACCAGCCAAAAAGTCTAATTGAAACTCGTGAAGTGGAGGGCCATTCTAGCTATTTACAACAGTCGGCAACAAAGCAACATCAGAAGCTGGCGCGGTCTAGGGGTGAACTTACGAAACTCAGCCCCAGTTTGCAATGCCGCGCCCCTGTTAAACTTAGCCTCGTGTCGCTGATGAGGCAGGCATGGAAATAAGAAAAAAAAATTACTTGGCTTCGTTGGTGGAGGAGGAGCAGCAGCAGCAGGGACCGTAGATTGGGCTGCGTCGTTGGGTTTTGCTGCCTCGGTCTTCTTTGTGGGTAGAGGAGGTACAGGCACCTGTATTTCTACATTTTAAGTCATTGGTAGTGATTTTAAGACAACCTACCTCCGGCCAGAAGTTCAAGATTGATTAGTGACGTTTTCAGACCACTGATAACTTCTCTGAGCTGAGCGTTGGCTCGAATGTAGGCATGTTCAGCCCGCTCAATGGCTTTTGCATCTGCATTGGCCAGAAGCTTAATTTTTTGTTCAACTGTTGTGGCGAGTTCTTCTACCGTCATTGTCATAAATGATTTACTGATAACAGTAGGAAATGATGAATTAGTTACTTACAATGGGACACATATACAATTGTTTAAGAAAATGCGACGTGCGATGAACATAAGAGCCCTAGAAGCAATATATTTTAAATTTTCAAGGCTTTAAAAGGCATCAGAGGCTACTTTTATGATCTGTACGATTTAATACGGCGAATTTTTCAAATAGACAATTACAACAAGAAGCCCATATAAGGGGAATAATGCCCTTCGAAAAAAATTACAAAATATGTGCACAGAGTAGAAAATTAAGGAGTTCAACTAGCATTTTTAAATAGTAGAATTTGCAAGCCATATAAGGACGGACAAAATTAGGTTTTAATAAAGCGTAAAAGTAGAGCCAGCACAAAGAATTTAGCGAAAATTTTCAGGCAATGTAAGAATTGTCAGCAAAGAAAAAATGACATTAGCCGTTAGTGATTGGTATCATATCACTTGAATCATAACCAAACGAGTGTAAGTTAGCAAAGTCTAGCAACAGTAGCGCGAACACGCTAAAGCACCTCAAGCCAAAGTCGCTCTATACCAACGACCAGTTAAAGCTACTTCGAGAAATGACCTTATACAACAAAACCTGGCTTACAGATACAGTTGTAGTTTTGAGATATATTCAGCAATATGTTTTGTCAAACAAATTATCCCAAGCATCAAATAATATTTTCGATTATACTGGTGAAAAATTGCTATTATAAAAGCCAGGAAGTTTATATTGGAACTTTGGATGTTCAGATGGTTGAAGGTAAGGAACCTGGTAAAGAGCCAAATTGCGAAGTCTGCAGTTTTAATTCGGTTCGTACTTTTTTTATACTATACTGAGGTGTTCACTTTAAGTATTTACTCAGTTCTGTTTGTAAATAATTATTTACCTATGTTGGCAAAACATTTATTGGATTTTGAAGTTGGATCAGCTTGCAGGACCGGTTAGTCACTGTTATGTTGAACTATGTCTGCAAATGCGGCCTTACATCTATTCATAGAATAAATAAATATATTTTTGCATATTCAAGTAACAATTTTTCTGTGCTTGATCAGGCTTAATTGTTAAATAAACCAATTTATTGGGCGGTTTGTCTAAATGTTGGTAAGTTGTGCAGTTAATCAATTGGCCTTACACCTGCTTGTTCTAGTTTATGAAGTCAGTACTGCTTAATTTTACTTTTGTTTAATGAGGATCAGTGTACAATGTATATTTCCACATAGCAACTTTGTGCCTCTCATCATTTAACGTGTTTCGATCACTTCAAATTGAAAACATTGAACTACCACGCCAACTTTTCTTTGTGTTCACACGAAAAAACTTGAGGCTCTCCGAATTTTGCATTTGAGGTTTATTTTAGGTGAGCCTACAACACCCATGCGAGCTTTCAGAACACTTCAGCTGGTATTCCAACCCAGTTACCTTCGTCGCGTCACTTGTATTCCACAATTTCCACAGCGATGCCGTACATTTAATTCCTCAACTCGAGCCCTCACCCGTAAAAGGACAACTGAGGCTCTTCCTTCTGTCGGCCAAAATGCCCAAACTGTCATCGTTCCCCCTGAAGAGCTTCTGGATTATGTTTCCAATGTGAGTAAATCCCGATTTCAATACCGACATGCTTTATTGCTCTATCGTGGGATATTTACAGTGTCGTTATTGTTCGGATGGAAAATATCAATGCAGCTAGTTAACTTAGCATGCTGTCAAGTTTGTTTATAAATGGATAACGAGGTCTCTACCTGTTGGTTCCTGTATTGAAAAAAATTCTGAAGTTCCAGGTAGCATGAGTTGACCTAGGATCAGTTTTTTGGTTTTTATAAACTATCCAAGTTCCCAGAAATGGCGTTTTTTTCAGCATCAGCACAGCCTTGACCACCTGATGGGCATCGACATTCGTGACTACCCTAGCGAGTTGCGTCTCACCTGCCTCGAGGCTGTAATTCAAACGGCCTTCTTCTCGCAAGGACCTCCACCCGCCCACCGACGACCCCACGCTCCCCAGAAGTCCTTCGACCGATTCACTGAGATCACAGCTGTCTCCATGGGCATCGATCCCGCCTCCACCGCGGCCATAGCCTTCCTTCCTCCCGCGTTCCTCTTCGAGCCCGACGCCAAGTGGCTGAAAGACGAACGTCTCCAACTCATCGCTCTGAGCACGGTCGCGGGTGCCAAGAATTTGCCTCGACCGCGTCTCCTGGTTCTGGCGGCTTGCTTGCGGCAGCTTCCTGAGTTCGTCAACAGCAAGGCGTTGGCGTCGGTTCTCCGTCTCATCACACACCAGGTCCGTGGGCTTTACTGTGACCTATCTAAGCGAACGTTCCATTTCCGAGCCTCTCTCTCTTGTGCTGATTGTTCTAGATTAACGAGTGCAGCACAACCGAGCTCGTCTACATAGGCAGCCTGCTCTCGGGTCTGCAACGCAAGCCTGCCACGCTCGACTCGGGCGACCTAACGGTGCTGAGCGTGGAAGCGGACCTCCTGCGCGACGCCCTTCAGCAACACGTGATGTCCCGACTGACGGAGCTCGAGTCCCTCGGTCTGCTGCCCCTCCTGCGATTGGCTCACGACTTCGGCGCCGATCTGACCGCCAACAAGACCGATCGCGTGCGTTTCCTCGCCACCCTTGAGACGGTCATCTCGACGAGACTGCGGGAGCAGAACCTCTTCACGTTGTGCCTCCTCTGCACAGCCATGCAGCGCATGGAGTCCTTTAGACCTGGACTTATACGAAGGTAGCCCTCACGGCTTCGCTTGATCTCTAACCACGGACTCCCGCTTTACGATATCTCCCTCCCTCCCCTTTTCCGCTAGGTGCCTAGGTCAGATCCGTCGAAAGTTACACCTAACCCAGAATTACCCAATGACCGACCAAAGCACCTGGCTGTCCGGCTCTCTCGCAGCGCTGGCCAATCTTGCCGTGGGCACCGGTCGTAGTGAGACGTCCAACTTTTCGATGGATCATTCCTCTACGCTGGTGTGTGAGGCTGCACTGCGCCAGTCTCTTCTGGAGGAGCAGGCGCCGGCGCTGCCCCGGGTTCCTGTGGGCGGCCTCGACATGCACGCCCTCTTCACGCCCGACTGGGTGCGTCAGCTCCTCTTCGACGTCGCCGACTACGTGGTGGATCGATTGAAATGCGGCAGCGCTGATGCCTCATCGGCCACTCGAACAACACTTGCTCTGCTTATGCTTGGCGTTCGGCACAAGGCGTTAATGGCGCAGCAGAACGACGCCGTCAAGCGGTACGCCGACCTCCTGGTCGCTGAGCCAAGCAGTCTGTTACTGACAGATGAAAAGTCCGTCTTTGATGTCAGCACTGGCGTCAAGCCGTGCGAGTCGAGTCAGTAACCTGCTATTACTACTTTAATTATTTGAGTAGGTTGAATTTAATTACTTTTTGTCTAGATGACTTGGTGCCTCACTTGCCACGTCCGGACTGGCAGCTGTATCACGAAGTCACTTCCATCTCCAAGTAAGTACCAGCCCTCTTTCGAACTATTCACCTCTCTTCGCCCTGTAGAAACCGCAGTCTGTCAAAGTTGACCCCTCGTCAGCTCGACCTGCTTCGTGCTTACGTGGCGCTGAAGAAACCCGCCGTGGAGGCCTTTATCACGCAGTTGCTGACGCGAATTATTCCGGAGCACGGGATCGAAATTCTGCCCTTCCATTTTGTCCAAACTGATTCCGGAAACCACGTTTTTGCAGGTGTGCTTTGGTTTAGCGTAACGGCCAATCGGTGACCTTGAATCGGGCTTGTGTGCTGCCTGCTGATTGGTTAACAGTCAGCTGGGCGTCTGGTTGAATCGATAAGGCGTCGTTTGGCGGTGGTTAGTTTAAAAATCAATAATCTACAGTCAATTTTATGGATCAAACTAGAAATTGAACAGAATTGGGTCACTCTGGCTGCGTTCTTATATCGGAACGATGAAGGGTGTTGAGCATTTTTGCCAAATTCACCGCAAATTCCTGTCCTCATTTCTGCTCACATTAATTTTTTTAACCAATACGCACATACTACTTATTCCACCGGTTAGAAGTAGCATGTTTCAATTTTGCTATGAGGGGTCACAGGTCTGCTGGGTTTTCAGTAATTTTTGACGGTTGCCATGACAACGAGTGTCTCCGACCAACGACAGACGTAGTGTATTGTGTTAATTGATGAAGCCCCGTTCAACCTTCAACGTCTTATAATGGTGCTTTTTTTAGATTTTATAATGCGAAAAAAGTCCTCAGCCGACCCGGGTAAGTGCTTTTCTTGTCGACTTCTCAACCCATTCGCATTGTTTTACTGCTATTGGTTGCTCGCTTGGCGCTCCTTTTGAATTTGAAACCCCATCAGTATGCTGGTGGTTTGTTGTTCCCGGGCAATCGATCTCAGTGTTTGTGTCTTATAACAGGAATTAAAGTTTCGTAAATACGTGATGTCCACTTAGAAATCCAGCACACATTACTCCACTCCTGCAGAGAAACACTTAAGTGTTTTCGTGGGTAAAAGTGGCGTCTGGAAGTATTCCCGAGGCGTTTTTTGCCGTCATTTCAGTAAACGCATCGTCCAAATTCAGGCGATTGTCGAACCCATCCGTGGAAGCACTTGCGTCTGCGGACAACTGGATCGTCCCAAACATTCGATATTTCTGCAGACTACGTCCTCCAGACACCCTTAGTGGTTGTCGGCTTTGCCTGACCAATTCCCTCAGCCTTACTTAAACCACCCGCTAATGTTGTGTCGGCTTTTCCTTGCTTCTTTTCCATAGCCATTTCCAAGTACGCGCTGTGCTTCCTAGTCTGGAGACGCGACGAACTGGTGCCTCAACCCTTCCGAGCCCTCCTCACGTCGTATTCGCAGACGCCCACCCTTCCAGTTGTGCCGGTACGTGTCCTTTACCCCTCGATCGATCGAAAGGCGTCTAGCCAGCTTGGTTGTTTGTATTTTTGTGAATAGTCCAACCCAAGGCCAGTTCTAGCAGTGCACGTGATCACATCGACGCACCAGAAGACGCCTGCGTGGTTTCTAGCCTTCTTTGAAACGCCTCGTTTGCCAAATACGCTTGTTGAAGGGTCGCTGAAGAGTATTACCCGGATCGGTATCGATGGAGGTTCACGAAAATCTGAAGGTCGTAGATGTCGACGGTTGGGGCTTGTGCCACCAACGCGGTAACACAGACGCCAGCACCGTTGCCAGTCTTTGTTCCCTTCAAGGCCTTGTGGAGGATGATTGCGCATCGTCTTCTACACAGGCGTTTCTGGTTCCCGTTATCCGTGGATACATGCTAACTTCGTGTTAGTGCGCATTGTCCAAGGAATCTTTCTGCAAATCTAGATTAGTTTGAATTTTGTCGTCATTTGGAATCATGGCCTTGAACCACTCGCTCAAAGTTAGTCGTTTAAGCCAACCCTAAACCCCTTCGTGGCCCAAACATCGATTGTGCCAACAGCCAAATTCGGCAGAACCCCACACCAGTCATCTTACTCTTGTCATACTCGCGGTAAGCCGTCGTGTAGGTTTACCAGGGTAAGCTGTCTTTCTAAATTATGCAAGCAAGCGTGGTGCGCAGCTTGCAGAGTGTCCTCAACCCGATTGGTCAGGCGATTCACCCAGTTCACATTTGTGTATTGTGAAAAAAAACCCGCTAATTTTGTCTTAACTTGGCCACCACGGACTTGCGATGAAGTCCAGTTTCGTTCGTGTACTATTAAATTGGGGGGGGGGATGGTGGATTTGAGGTAACTGGGGCAGGTGTGACATTCTGTGGCAGCTGACGGTCACAGTAATTTGAAATCCAGAAGCAGCCTTCAACCGCATGATAGGACTGCTTGAAGCTGTGGCTTATCCTAAAACGACAGAATTACTCACTGTCGTAAAATCTTTTTTGCAGTGACTACGCGCTTCCATGATGGTGTCGGTTGTCATCACTTCTAATCCACCATTCCACAAAATCGCAACTTTCTAACGAACCAATCATTCAGTTGTTCGGTCGTCCAAAGAAAATAGGGCCACAGCGACTGCTCTGTTACTTGTGACACCCTTTTTGTAAGCATGGCAAGGGTTTGACGGCAGGATTTGCCCGGTAACGTTGAGACAATTGCGAGGCAGTGTGCTCGGTAGGTTCGCTTTGATCGGAAATCGATAATCCACCCTCGCCCTAAATCGCGATGCAGTGTGCTCGGTAGGTTCGCTTGGATCGGAAATCGATAATCCACCCTCGCCCTAAATCACGATGCGGTGTGCTCGGTAGGCTCGCTTGGATCGGAAATCGATAATCCACCCTTGCCCTAAATCGCGATGCAGTGTGCTGGGTAGGTTCGCTTGGATCGGAAATCGATAATCCACCCTCGCCCCAAACCGTATTGGCCTTTTTGAAATACCAACAAAGCAAGGATCAGCTTTAAGTCCCTATCTACGACACGATCGTCTGCGTTTTCTTGTTTTGGAAAACATCACGAACACGTGTAGATGTGGGTCATGGGGTTATTATCGATTATCCCTCTCCCCCCTCTCCTACCCAGATGGTGTACTGTGATTGGCTCCCGACGAGCGATTTAAACAACCGCCGGGACGACTTTATCAAGAAGGTCGCCATCTCGCTTGCCGACGCGCCCGGACTGGCCACGGATCGGACGAAGGTGTATCCTGTTTGTGAGGTCATTGGCCGAAACGACTGATTCCGACAACACCGCCGTCACACACCCCTCTATCAGTGACTTTTCCATTTTTAATGAATTTCTTGGTAGATATAAAGTAATTTTCACAGCGATGCCCTGTTGTCTGTGTTTCTCTGTCTGTAATGGAGCACATCTTTTTAACCACTTTGAAATGTCGGGTTGAGTCGTGTGAGCATATTGATCTTTTGTGTGCAAACAGGGGGTACGTGCATAGCCAATAGGAACGCTCAAACAGGGGGACGAGGCAATCACGGGGTTAATTAAGCGGAGGCGGTTGACTACCAAGGCGTCTGGATATGCGTCAGTTTTGACTCAGGCTCATTGATTTGTACGGATTTTTCAGCAAACTTATTCAGTGTAAAAAAAGTAGAGAACAACGAACTTAATCTTGGAAGTTTTAGTCCATCACTTTCTCTGACCTTGCACCAGGTACCGCACGAATGCCGTCGCGAATGATTCTTTTCTGGTTCCGAGGAAATTGAGTCATCGACGAGTTCATCCACATCGTCCGGCGTCTTGAACTGTTTATTCACTAAGGCGTGCTGCTTCTGCTGCTGCATTGGCCGGAACACATGGTAGTCGGAAGGGTGGCCAAGTCCGGTGGCAGAACCTTCCATCCCAAGTTCAAGAGGGTCTAGTGAGTCGAGCGAGCAGCGTGAGGTGGCCGTGCGCTATCACGCATCAGCAGTATGACTTGCCTGCTTCCTTCCCCATTAAATGGCCTTTTCTGATCTCTGGCCACTTCGCTCAGTTTGTTCAATTCTCGGCTGTGGAGTTGAGCAGTCACGTTCTGACGACCAGTTTTCAGGAGTTCGTAGTCATGTACACCCTTCATATTCCGCCAGATACACGGATACAGATGGCTTCTTCAAGTGGGTGTCCTGTTTCGGCGTCGATGTACTGGGTCGCACACGGGATCCACCTACGACAACCTTCTGCGTTAGGGTTTCTCGTTTCAGAGAATCGACTTTTCATCACCCATCACAGTTTTCCACAAAGGCAGTCCATTCACTGCTTGTGGCCGGTGGGCAAGCAGTGAAAGGCATATGTTCAGACGTTAACGAAGGTTGCATTCGGACAACACAGATGTGGGACCCAACTTCCACGCTTATTAATCGTTCCCATTTGGTCGTGCAAGTGCGTGGATGTGGCAGTTTGGGTGACTCCTAATTGAGCTGCAAGCGTTGGCATTGCTTCCTTGCTCAGCAAATGGCCTTTACTGTTCAACTGTCGGCTGTAGCGATGCGTAATCACCGTCTGACCAATTTCTAGGAGTTCGTAAGACAGTACACCCATCATTTCCCACCAGGTACAAAGGAGAACCTTCTTCAAGTGGCTTTCCAGTTTCAGTGTCGATGTACTGGGTTGTCCAGGATCAACCCACGACGCTGTACTTTTAGAATTCTCGTAAAAGTGCACTTTATCCACAGGAAGTACCTTTGTGTTGGTGGCAAACGCTTGAAAATAGCTGCTTGGGTGATTCCTAACTGAACTGCACGCTCTTGTTACGCTTGCGTTGAGCCTTCATGCAGTTGAGCTTGCAACTCCACATCTTCAAACTTTTGAGGCTGCTGTCCGAGGCGCGGCTGGTCGCCAAGATCGAAATCACCACCTCTAATACGTTTATAAGACACAATGTCGGCACCAAGAACACTACAGATTGATTCCACCGTACTTTAGAAGCATATGTTCCTTGCTGGAATTCGTATAAAAAGCAGTGCGATCGAATGTGCCACTTATCAGCTGCCATCGCAAACTCAGCTATTAGGAGTGGTTATGCAACTTAAGACGACTCGTGTCATTATCGATTGGCCATTGGAAGTGTGGACAAAATAAGCGCCAGATTTCAATTGGTTAATATTTTGTAATGAATTCCGAGAAGATTGGCATTATAGAGGATGATATCTGAGCTCACCGAGATGACTTGTAAGACAACACACTCGACGCACAACGCCTTCGGGTGGCGAACTCGCCAGCTGTCGCTGGAAGCCTATTCCATACGCATTGAAAGATCACACGAGCTAGACGTCTTAAGGACCTTTCAAAGAAGAAGAAGAAGAAGTCGCTACCACTTTGAACTGAAGTTTGATTGTAACACGGAACCGGTAATCATTAGTCGGAAGCATCTTCGGTGGAGCTAAGAGTTTCTACGCATCCAGTTCCACTAAACTCCGTTCGGAAAACAGCATCTCCGTTCCAACATCTGAGTCATGAGTCCTCTTGTCGCACGGCTACTAGAACAGCTTGAAATTAAAGTGCACAATCTTTGTAGATCCAATTCTGTCCACATTCCAGCAATTCATCCACAGATAATACCTGCCTATGAACACTTGAAGCCATAACGAATGACAACGTGGAAGTGTTGTGACAATAAACAACAAACTTGTACAAGAACGCGCTGCTGTGAGAAATTCCAATTAGTGCGCCACCAGAACCAGTACAGCTAAACAAAGAGGTACGCAAGTGCTTCACCACCAGTCTTGTCTGCGTCGCTGTTAAATGTAGTCATCTTCACTACCGCACAGCTTCATGAACAGGCGAGTGTTTTGCAGAGAACTCGCGATCCAATAACGCGCGAGCCTCGGAAATACCGCCTTAATTAAATTACATGCTTCGAGGTGGATTATTGGTTGATGGGTAATAATTTTTTTTTTGTATTACAAAGCAGTCGGCTTATCAAAACAGCGTCTGGTAGCTTCGACATCTGCTCCTATGTTGCGTCCACCGGTATCCCCCTTTTAATTACGGTGTTTGGGAAGCCCCGCTTTTGCCTTTTGTCTGTTCCGTTTCTTGTATACTCACAACAGCCAGAAGCAGTGATAGTTGAGACATCTGGCAGAAGGTATGGCTTCTGCCGTTCCTGGAATTTTTAAATTGGCCTGGGCATTTGTGACGCGTAATCCGGTCTTTGCACACTTATCGGTGACCTTCACTGGCTTTAAATTAACCGCTTTAAAATTCTATTATTTCCCTCCAGCTCTATCTCCTATTGGCTAGCCATTATTCATGGAATTTCACCAGTTGGTTTATATGCATGCACTGTATTTGTGAGTAACTCAATCCCACGAAAAAATGCCACGACACCGTCCTAAGAAAAACGATGTGCTGTGTCAGGTTTCAGGGTGTTGGGAGAAAAGCTCCAGAATGGAGCATAGTTTTTTTGTTTAAATGATTGATTACCTTAAGAATATTATTGGACTAATAGACTTAGTTAAAAGGCTGACGACATATGCTCTGGCCGGCCTTGAAGGCAAGGACCAATGGAATGTGAACATGGCTCCGTGGCGGTCGATATGAAAATGGTGTGCGTGGATGGTTGGACGCAAATTCAAATGAATCGAAAATTTGTAATATGACTTGTAAATTGCACAAAAAATTGCAAGTTTGGGAAATTCTGGCTTTCTTAGTAAAATTAATAAAGTTCGTGCTGGAGTAACACTGTTGAGGCTTATCCAGATTTAGAAATTTGGATAATGTCATTAGACCCTGGGTGGTGAATGTCCCGTTTCATCACTTAATTACAGCACTAAAATTTCCGCGGAAATTTTGAACTTGCAATTGGAGGGAATGTAACCACCAGCATGACTGAATATTTTCACTCAAATCATCAACAAAAACTCATAAGATGATAAAATTGCTTAAGCTATTGAAATCTGGATGATCTGATTGGCAAATGTTAGTCATTACCATAAATCGTTTTAACCAATTAGTGATGCATTTGTCGCATAACTCCTCCACTGAATGTCGATAACCGATGGGTCTTGAGTTGATTTCAAAGTCAAGAGTGTCAAATGAACTTCGTTAAACCTAATTTTCGGAACAGTTTCAGTCCAATCTTTGAAACTTGCACTATACAGGCTGAGAGAACCAATGTTCAAGTACCTTACACTGGTCACACCTTCCCAGTTCACGACAGACGTGACTAAAGTCCAATTGAGCACGCTTATATGAGTCACGAGTGACCTTGACTGGTCAAATCAAGTTGAAGTAACACAGAGGGAACTGTCAGTGGAATCTGGGTGACCAACGGAAGTCACGTGATTCGGAGTGGATGTGCCGACGATGACAGTGGTGGAACTTCACTACTCTGAGATCAAAGCCGATCTCTTGAGACAACGGGAACAGCTGAGATTGGCGAAGTGAATATCGAGTACAGCACAGATTTTGAGCGGTCTTGCTTAAACTCCACACTGATCTTTAAAACTATGTTCTTTAATAATCAAGAGAAAGAAGTCATTTATTTGTTAGATGCCAACAGACAGAAGCGGATTAAGAAAAGCAGAAAGCAACTGTTGTTCTGGAAAGAAAAAAAAGACCCCACGTGCTAATAAATGTGACTGCAAATGTGAGCGCCGGAAATGGAATTTGTTTTAATTTATGGGGCAATTTCATGCGCCCTATTTGAAGGTGAAGGCCATCTTATAGCAACTGTTGTCAAAGTTAACAGTGTTATGCGAAAATTTTAAGGATTGAAGATAAAGGCTGCCTAGAATTGAAGTATTTTGATGATTAAGCGCTAATTATGGTATCAAAACTAATGAGATCATTGGATTTATCGATTCGCTCTTGCAGAACACGCCAAATCAACCAATAAATGCACAAATACCAGTTTATTAAACAACAGAATTGATTGGTTATTCAAGCAATAGAAAATATCGCTATTTCAAACGAGATGAAAAGCTAAAATGTCTGTTTTTTACGCATCTTTCACCATGGAACTTTAAATCCATGTAGATTCACGTTTGCGTAGATAAAGTACCATCTAAAATGCGAATTTGGCAACCGAAATAAGCCCACTTTTAGCAAATAGCCGTAAACGCAAACCAAATTCGTCGAAAGCCTTCTACTAGAGAAAATTTTAACATTTTCTTGGTTTCCTTCGATGGTATCTCGAGTAGAATATCTAATACATCAACTCACCCGCACTGTTTACCATCTCACTTCGCTAATTAAGATATAGCCGATCATTTAAATGCAAAAGTGTTCAGGCGATTCAACACGTTTTACTAAATAAGTACTATGGAAACAAGGTTTAGAGCAGGTAGTTCCAAAAAACCACGAAATCCTTTACATGCGTTGAAGGAGTACAATAAAAAAAGGACATTATAGGGTCTTCTTAGATCTGATCATATTTTTGAAGGTAAACAAGCTCAAGACATTTCGTGAAAGGGTCTACTTGGACGAGGTACTTGCATTTTGAAATGTTTCTGCAAATCTGATGGGGTTTTGTAGGTGTACGCAGTGGAAAGGAGGCAGGATTCCTCAGTCGATGCGTCCACGACTTGATCGCAGCTTAAATCCCCCAAATACGAAACAACTCACAGCAACAATTGAGGCGTTAATGATGGCGTCCAGAAGCCCCTTGAATGCGGTGCAAAGCGAGAAGATTGACACTGAAATGGAAATGTTTATGACAGCTCAGGACGCTTAGTAATCAGATTCAAGGGGACGATAATGTTTTTGCTACTGCAGACCAAGCAACCTGCCCGTTTTAATCACGCATTAAGTTTATTTTGAACCAATTTTGTGGTTTTTTTTAAAAAAACATCAGCCCATGGGACCAAACGTTCACTCACAAACGAATAACTGCCTCAAAACATCTTGAAAACTAGAACAACAGGTTCACGAAAAACCATACTGCAGTAAAACGCATTAAAAATGCAGTATAAGCAGGAGGCAATGCTCCTCACTGTGTCAAACTAAACATAAGAGTCTGTAAAAATAATTTTTTTCATTTGAATTTCATTTGTTTGAATTACTGTGGCCTGATTTTCGTAACCAGGCAACAACAGGACGCCCCCACAACTTTTTTGATCAATTCAGGGCCGTTTGTTTGTGCTCTCGATTGATTACTGCGACAGAAAATCCTGTTTTGTTTGATCGCGTTCATGGGCGATGCTCAGACCATGTGTTATCGATTTTTGATCACGTTGATGGTTGATGCTCAGATGAGGTGTTATCGATTTTTGATCTCGTTGATGATTGATTCTCAGACGAGGTGTTGTCGATTTTTGATCACGTTGATGATCGATGCTCAGATGAGGTGTCATCGATTTTTGATCACGTTGATGGTTGATGCTCAGACAAGGTGTTGTCGATTTTTGATCACGTTGATGAGCGGTGCTCAGATGAGGTGTCATCGATTTTTGATCTCGTTGATGATCGATGCTCAGACGAGGTGTTACCGATGTTTGTTCTCTGGCTCTGAGTAGAAAGACGGTCGTGTCCAATGTCTTTTGTATTTCATTTGAGCTGGAATGTTGTTGGCTGTTGGTGAATTAGTGTAACCAGCACCACAGAATCCTCGCTACGTTTAAACGCAGAACAGAGTTGATCATTTTAGCTTCGCTGACGGAAAGTAAAGCTCTTTTTGCGTTAACTCGTACACCAGTACCGTTTGTCATGTCGCCGTTTGTTAAGGGAACTAAAACTGTCCTTTCACCAAGAAGGCAGTAACGAGTGTTGAGGCGAACACAACGACGTGTTTTGAAAAGCAGCCATTAACAACGCGTTGTTACTTGTCAAAATTTTCCAAATTGCCAGCTCAGTGTCTCGAATTATTTCTGGAGCGATGTTTATCAAACGCAGTAAAACGCGTAAACACCCATTTCCTGTCTGTTTTTCGTACCGCAGAAACCAATCCGCGATGAGACGTTTTTCAAATTAAAGATTGTTGGTGTTTCAAATAGTTGAACTGTTTAACGTGAATTTCAGTTAAATTCTCACGAGTCGTGATGTAGTTCTGTTAAAAGAATTGAATGTGATTGGCATTCTCTCATTACCAATCAGTACGCTACAGCGCATTTTTGTTACATTTATGGGTTTTCGCGATATCGAAGTTCCCACTAAATCACGGCGAATTCACGAATCGTGCAGTTTAAGGTCTTGGATACCAAAAACTTGCATCTCAACACACTTTCCTTTCCATTTTGTAAAAGCTAACTCTCCAGCGGCCATGAGTTCCCTTTTCAGAGTCTGATGTAATGTTTTTTGATGACAAACGTAACGCTAATCAGATAGGTTTGATCTGCGATGGATTACGTAAGGCAAAATACTACAAAGCCCAACCTTGCCATTAGTTACGAAGAGTTCTGAAATACATTTGGAAGAGACAGGTGACTTACCAATTGTACTGAGTGCAAATACTGCGAAGACAGTCACCATGGCTAAGTTAACTACGCCCGGTTTGGTCGTGATAGACGCGTAGATGAGAGCCAAACTAATGCCTAGAGGAAATCAAAACGTAAGACGTTAGGCGAGTAAAGAGACAGGCGATGTTTGATCCATGTGTCGATAAAAAAATACAATGCTGGAGGATCAAGTTCAAGTTCCACGGCATTCTTTGAAAACATTCCTTGGTGACGCACTGGTTGGTCAAAAAAGAAGTATCAAAGAGGGGAGCAGGATAACTTCACAATGACTTGGTAAATTTTTGGTAATAAATGGTGCTGTGAAAGTACCTCCATTTCGCGCCAAATGAATCGCCTGCTATCTGACCAATCCCAGTAAAGTAAGTTATAGGTGTATCGGAGTTACCACGCAGTTCTGAACACTTGCGCTCAACGTTTTTAAACAAAAAACAGCGACATTCTCCTTCATACATTCTTACCCACTTTGAAGGCCCAAAAATTGAGCATTTGGAAGTGAATTTCTTCGTAGTGGGCTGCCTCCGACGTCGTCTGGTCAGTCGCACCGATTACATGCGAAGTTATTGACTAAAAAACGGAAGAAATCGTTACCAACATCAATAACTCAGTGATTTGTGTTAGCCTTGGAAGTACGGAACAGCCGTTTGAAAGTTTCGTAAATGAGGTGGACTAGAATAACTTTGTTCTCCCTACGAGCCACTCAAACGCGTTCCTCATTAAATATTTAGTTCAGTTGACCAGAAATTGTTGAAAATGTGGAGGTATGTTCTACCTCGGGATTAACAAGTTCAAATTTGGCGTTTTACCTTCGTAGCAGAAAAAATGAGGAACAGACTCAGAAGTCGGAGCCACCAGATTGTCAAGACACTTGGTTCGGGGCAGGGGGACACGCAGTTCCCCAGAATTTGTCCAATCTGTAAAAAAAAATAATGAAAAAGACCAAATCAGTGCCAGGCAATAGAAGAGGCATCTAAGGAACAGGATATTGGACTAATTGCTGGCAAGATGCACCATCAGTTGCCATGGTTACTGGACATGTTACTTCCTAGGAGGGTCGATTAATTTTAAGTAAGAGCACACCTTCATCTCCTGTTGCAGTCACGCAGGAATGACAGAAGTCTTGGCCAAATGTGCTTATTGGGTAATGTAAGCCTGTCAGTGAAGTTTGCTATCGGATTTATTGATTTCATTGACTCATCCCTGTTTTTCATTGGTTACTGTTTGCAGTCGCTTGTTACGCGCGCACAGAATCACACATCTGGCTGTACTCGCGCTAATAGACAGTTGTGTCCGCTGTCGCCTCTTCTTTCTATTCTCCTGTGGTTACGGGCTGTTAACTACTAGTGGGGTTGCACAGCAGTGCAAAAAAGCTACTACACCGCAGGACATCATTCATCGTACTCTTTTTTACATTGCCGAAACGCTTGTTGGGGGTCCAAATATCTCAGCAACTTCTCGTGCCTGCAATTACTGTTACACTGGGAATTTGGTTCGGCAATTTGCAATGCCAAGCCAGTTTTTTTCACCACCACTGCGATCTGACGAGCCGCTCGTAGGGCACTGCCTGCTAGTCCAAACCCATTTGCTCGCTTTTGGTATATTTCCCCACCGAATCCCTCCAAGAAATCTTCAAATTTCTCTGAAACTTAGCCTAGTCAGGAGCAAACTTGTCAACTCGGAAATCAGTGGCTTCTCGTCCTGTTTTAAGGGGTAGAAATTTGCCAGGCGCTCATAGCCTTCCAAGTAGTTCTAAGGACGACAGCAAACAACGAGATTAGGGCTTCCTAAGCAGCATTTCCTACTGTACTTTTACAAGACTTCGGACGTAAACAGTAGACAGAAGTGTGGATGCCTAACTTTTCAGCTGATTACAGAAGCCTGCACTACCTAGGATATTGCCAACCATATTTTGAACACAGGAAAGCGGGCAGGCAACATCGCCACCATTGTAGACGCCATCTGTAGATATTGAGCTCAAATTGAGTTCTCCTTCGATCCAGAAAACGATGTTAAGTTCAGAATGTGAATCCGACTTGATGCAGACCTCTTCCGGATCGATACTGGGTCTAAGAACTAGACTTAGAGAGGATCTTAACAAGTACTGCAGTCTCTGTCTACCGCTAAATCGAATACTCGCACTGCTGAGATGTCATTCTCGTTGCCTCCATCGTCTACACACTGAAAATGACCATTGGCCACTTTCAAGGTCGCTGGCTAAGAACCCTTCGTGTTTATGGCACTCAACAGCTGAACCCGTGAGGAAAGCTTCTCCGTGTGGAAGATTGCTGTTTAAGTTTCTCAGCTAATACCATTTCCGAAAATCCTGGTATTAACTGAAGAAAGTCTACTGTCTGCTGTTTCCCTAGTGGCTGCTGGTGTAGCTGTAAGTCGCTAAGCTGGTAACGCGCTGTTCCCCAATTTACCAAGTCGCCAATAACCCCCCTATACTACACTGGTTGTTTAATCTTGAGAAAACATGAATTCTGCTGGGCATATCAATTAGGCATCGCACGTTGGCATTAATCTACGCCATTACAAAATGGGCGTAGATAGTACAAATGAGTTTCCCAACAAAATTCCCAAATTTTTGCTATCATAGGCTCTCGTTTTCGTGTCATTTAACACAAATTTTACCCGTGCAAGTTACGAGAAGCTGACTTTATGCAGAACAGATTAAGGAACAATCAGATTGCGTGACTGGTGTTTATCAGGTTCCCTAAGCCTAAATTGAAATTACACACGTGACGCTAAGATAAAGTTAGCTCTCATTGTCACAGGTAATACACGCTACAGGGTTATATTTTGTGCTATTGTTTTCCTCTTTTTAGGAGTACCATTTGCCCACAACAAAATATTCTCAATTGCAGTTCAAATAAACATGACTTTACAACGAAAAATTTGGCTGTGACAGAATTCCTTTCATTGTTGAAAATTACAAATGTTGCATCTTCATTGAAAATTGTTTTAAACGTTTCTTAGAAAATTGTCCAATGGCGTTCTGTTCCTTTGGTTTGAAATTCATGACGGTAGTTGTTCGATTTACTACCAAACGATGGGGCTCATCACGCGTATCCCGAGGGATCTCTTAATTTAAACAAAACTTCATCTGACCTTACTGCGACCTGCTCGGGATAACTTGGACGAATAATCTCCCACTTGATTGGACCAATCAATTAGACAGCCAATCAGACAAACATGGCTAGACTTGAACATTTTGCGGGATAATGGCAGCAGCTGACGTCCACCTATGTGGACATTTGTCTTTGCCAAAGTTTCGTGGGAGTTTCGGCCCTACTTTAGTTGAAACATGAGATGTGGTGCGTGTGCAATCGTATTTGCAGCCAACCCGCATCCAAACATTCTTTTCCGTTCAAAATATGTGGTAGGCAAACTACACGAACCCACAGTGAACCGCGATGAACGTGTACTGCATGACTCCGTCAGTTTCTCTCATCTGTGTGGCATACTCGTTGGTGAAGCAGAAAATTCTGGCTAATCATTTCCGTTTGAACTTCGTTCACCTGAAGGATACGGCCGCAGACGTCGTCATGGCTGCCACCGCGTTAATAAACCCAAATCCGCTCTTGATGGGGATTATGTGGCTATCCGCCAACAATTATTGCCTTTTAAATAATGTGGCCTAATGAGTAGGAAGCTAGTGATTTACGAAGCAGATCTGGGATGTGTGTGATCGCAGATATAGTAAAAGAAAATCGTGCTTTTTAGACAACATTGATTAGGACTTTAAATTTAGAATACCGACGGACAAAAAACTGATATATTTTTGGATTAGATAGTCCTATGGAAAATTGGGTCATGACCTCAAAATTTAGTGAAAAGAACGTAGACAAGCCTAGCCGAGTAATTTTTAAACTAGTACAGAACATCAATGTAATCAATGCCAGAGGTGATCATTTTTGTTACGCGGATTTTGATTGGCCAGTGAGTGCAACCTCTGATTGGTCAAAATATTGAGTTCGGTTTACTGGAACTTTGAACTCGCGAAAACTGAATCTTTTAAGGCAATTAAATTAAAACGCTAACTTATTCAGTCCTTCGCGGTCATTTTGGACCGGCGATGAGGTTAATCTCGTAGCAATAGGCAATGTAACGTACTTTTCATCGGTAATACTTGAGATCTGGAATAGTTGTAGAGCAAGATATTTCCCAAGGAATCGAGAAAATAGTTTAGAAAAAGTGGTTGATTACGTGAGTTTTTCGTTGATTATGTCACACTGCACGAAAGGCGATTAAACTGTTAAACGTGCCTGTCTGATTTCTGCGGTTAACATGGAGTACTGTGATAGTAATTAATACCAAATTAACTACCTATAAAACATTAAGCGGCACTCAAAAAGAGCCATCAGTTCGGCGGCGTGCCAAGTCTAGGTATTCTACCTGATCAAAGTTAATGCTCTAGCCAGACCAAAAGGTGGGGGGGGGGCGTTTGGCAACAAAATCAGATCAGTTGTGGCCCTAGTTGTTTCGGTAACTCCACCACCTCGTCAGCATGACCTAGGCTAGAATTTGAACTGTTGATAAGGTTAACGGCTTCACTAAAACACTAGGGGATGGGGAACACTGTGCTCCAGTAGATAATGGGTCCGTAATTTGAGCCAGATGTGCGGATTTTCGAAAGTACTTTACAAGCACACCAAATTTATTTCAACTTTCATTTTTCAATTTGTAAACAGAAACTAGACTTATCGAGGCCATTAGGGGGTGTCCGAATTCGAGAGAATTTGTGTCGACAGATGGGAGTTCTTTAGCAAAATATGTTAACTTGAACTGGTCTGGTGCGTTTTGACAGCGAGAATTGCATGTTATAATATTCAAAAAAGCTCGACTATATAAGGAACAATGGGCTTGTATTCCAGCTAATGGAACAAGCCCATGATTTCTCATGTTGCCATTAGAAACAGTTAGCGGTGGGCGGATACAAGGAAGAAGCTTAATTGTATCATTTAATCTTTGCAGAAATCGTGTTCCTAATCAAAGCGCAGATGATGGACGAAAAAATAAGCGCATATTTGATTAAAATAAAGCTGTCAATCAGTTTTTTGCTTAAATAGTAAAAAATAAGGAAGTTTCAAATTTGTTTTTTTGTCAGTGCCTTTTGCCTCAAATCCCAGATTCGTGCTAATTTCACAAGCAATATCTACACCAGTTGTTTCAATTCAAATTGATAACGCTACAAAAGTTTGTTAACACACATCCAATCACGAAAAGCGTCCACGTTTTCACGCTTTCGGCAATTCGGCCACATCATCCTGCATCCGGGGATTCAACTGAACAAATCCAGGAAATATCAAATTTTCTCTATTTCAAAACCTTGTTAGACTTGTTTGGGTGTGTTACACCTTTCAGAAATGCAAATTTTTTGATAAAACTTGATCATTTTTTTAGCCAACCACAAGGCACTTCTGTGTAGAACGTTCATCCTTTCTATGGCGTGGAGATGGCGTCGATGCAGAGAAAATTTGCAAAATTATGCGACTGTAGACAACAAAATCGACTGCCATTGGAAGCAATTAGGTTGTTGATGCATTACAGAAAGCGACATTTGTACCATTTAGCCGATAATGGATGCATCTTCGCAAACAACTACTTGTACTACTACGACCGTGTCCTCTTAAAAGCTCTGATTGGGCGAGATTACATGGGATTTGAAGGATATACATTTACACCTAGTTTTCGAGCCGTAGGTTTGGCGATTTGAAATGCAATTTTGCACAAAATGGCTACCTACCTTGGAAGTGGGACTGAAGCCGTGGTCGTCACCTACTCCAAGGACCTTCCGAGCTTTTAATCGACTAAACTGCTCGCTTGACCGCTTCTCTCTAAAAGACAAAGATGGACACGATGGCAGTTTTGCAGGAATGTATAGTTCTGCATTTGAAACTGTCAAAATAGCGGTCCACACAATGAGTAATCTGTGGAAATTAACTTAGTGATGCCAGATCAGGGAAGATAATTCACTTATTTTGCAGGGCTAGCAGAGTAACAAGTAGCACTGTTCTAGATCATCCAAATTTGCCGATGAAAGTGCTTGATGGATGGTCTTGAATCCATCATCTTAATTTCCGATATTTTCGTAGATCACTGTGCCATTAGACGCCTGAATTCTTATTTTCATAAATAACATTACAAACCCGTGGACGTGGTTAAAAAATATCTGCGTCTACCAATATTCGTAGACTTCATCATTTTAATCTTACGCGGTTTATTATAAGGTGTTTTCGTTGTGTTCCATGACAACTTTACGAGACATGTGTTTCAGAATTCGAAATCAGCAAGGCAAAAAATCCTTTGGAAGCTGAGGACACAGCAATTAGTGCATTTTTTTCGAGGTATACTTTCTTGACATTCCTGATCGTCTCTCCATTGGCAGGTCAAGGTGACCAGCCAACCAATCAGAACCCTCCCTGACAAATCGGACGTGGATTTCATTCTGGGGACACGAAGTATCTCTCGTAATCTAAGGACACAGCAATCAGGTCATGCGCGTTGAAGACTCCTTTTCTGACATTCCGGACCAGGAGCAAGCTAGGCTACTGATTAGCAGGTCAAGGACATTCAGCCAGCCAATCAAAACCAGCGAAATCGAAACTGTTGTCAAGGCATGTCAATGAACTTTAGTGTCACGCCGTGTCCTTGATGGGACTAAGCAGTAGCGACCAAGACTAATCTAGTTAACTCACTGTCTACTGGACGTCCAATCTCAACTTCCAATCACTGAGTTAGCCAATAGGAAACCTCAATTAATGATTAAGTCACATTAAGAATGATCAAGTGGTTTGTTTAGTGGAATATATTAACTAGATCACCAATAACTTCATGCAGTCCAACTTGCCAACATTTTGACTCCAAAGTTTGCGTGAAAACACTTAGAAGCAAACACTTATTAAACCGAATGAATCAGACCACGTTTGAGTGGCAATTAAAGCGAGCCTCTTCAAATTTCCACTGATTTAGCTCAGGCGAAAGTCGCTTTCATCAGGTTGTAAAAAACAGACATTAATGCAATCGTGTAGAGATGAAAATCTTGAATATTTGCTTCGTTAATCCACAGACAACCATTAAAATGTCACATTGTTTCCTAGGGGTAGTCATTGGAAATTTTTTGATTATTTGTCATGTTGTAGGGTTGCTATAGATCATGGAAATCAGGCTTATTTGCATCATAACTCCACCAACAAATGCCAGCCAGAGTGTGCGTTTTTTGCATTGCCTTGACAAGTCACGCCGAACAGAGCCAATCACATGTCACCGAGAACGAGTAGAACTAGCCCGGATGAAGCAGTGAAGCGTTAGAGCGACACTCGACTTCTTAAGTCATTGCGACCACTGGATGTGCTGTCTTCAACACCGATTTTAGTCTGCTTCAAATGGACTTGAGGATCTTTTAAAAAACCCTCGTGGAAACCATGATACAAGAGAAACACGAACGCACTCAACTAGCATTAGTGGGGGCCAAAATTAAAAAAAAAATTAGTTGTTGAAGGATTAGTTGCATTTATAAGATAACATCTTACCCGCCATCGTCCATAATTTCGTTATAATGGCCATTCGGCTGGTCAGGTGTTCACGCTTTAGCCGATGACCCGTTAGCCAATGAAAATGGACTTTCGCTTCCAGCCGCTCCATTGGCTCGAAAGGAACCTATATAAATGCAACCTTGAATAATCTCAGTAACACGATTTTCACCGGGTTGTTGATGGCGATTTAGGGCCGAGTTGTTTTAGGCAGCCAAAAAATCCCAAAATATCTCCATTATGCTGAATAAATCGAATCGCTAAATTAGTAAGCATTGGCACGATACGACATCTAGTCAAAGCGCTTAGAGTGTTAATGGAAAAAACTGTTACAATGCATCAATCTGCACAAATTAGTCACCATGATGTCACAATTAAGAAAAGTATGATGAGAAACTACTTTGTAGCCACGAAGGCTGTTGTGGAACCGTTAATTTATCGCGAGGACGTCTTGATGATCTTTTCGATTTCATGCGACATTAGGGTTATTCTGCTCACATCATTTGGCATACAAAGCCTTCATTTAATACGCTAGAACACTGTGGGGCATCAGTGACGGTGAACCAATGAGCAGTCTGGAAGCAATCACAGGCACCAATCAGCAGCCTAGGGTGAATGAACGATTGGCCTAAGTGTGTCGACCAGCAAGTCAGCACACTTAGCATTCGTGAGCGAACGCAAATCAATCGATTTTTACCGTTGTGGACAGACAGCCACCGCGCGCGTGAGTGCTGCGTGTATGCTTGCCCGACTGTATGAGTCACTCACCCTCTTTGCTATTGGCTCTTATTAGCGGTCGCCTGTAACGCGCGCATATCGAACGCACACAGAAGTTAGTTACTCGATTTTACGCGACGCGACTTGACCGGTGTGACGCGAATAAACGGTCGTGTCCCCCTTAGACTCTGCCACCTCTTTTCTCTGGTTGTGACTGGCTGTTATCTGTAGAGTATTGCGGTAGTTTTCATTCACCCCCCTACACAAGTATTAAAAAGAAGACTAGAATTTAAAATCGAGATATCAAACTCTCAAAATAAAATAAAAAAAGGAAATGCACTTCTCTGGTAACGTACTAAATCACCTCGCAAAAGGAAATCAGCTTGTAGTTAGAGTTTACCATCGCAAATTGTTCCACATGGTCGTTATTATAAATTTGCCTATGTTTTTCTGGCATTAGAGACTCCGCATTTGCAAATCCGTCATGCGTAGGGTGACTTGACCACAATTAGTTGTGGAATCGATGGATGCTCGAATTAATTGAATTGTGACTATGGAGGTTAGCAAACGGTCTACGTTAACAATGAATACATTTTGATCCATCGAAGGTGGAAATCTTTAGTACCCCAATACACAGCACAGATTTTATCAGAAACTACGAACATTGCTCGCTTAAATGAGACAAACGGCCCTAAAAGACACACAGTTTTCTCATAACGCCTCAGGATAATGCGTCGAGGCAACTGACAAATCACTATATCCTGATCTTCAGATATGCCTCACGGCCCATTGTTGGTAACTGCTTCCAGTTAGATACCTGAATTTACTGTAGAATACCCGAGCCCTAGTATGAAGAAGTCCGCTACAACAGAACAAGCTTTATTAACCAATCACAAGCCAGGTCCACACGTCAGGCGCCTTCCATCCGAGTCCGCCACGCTGACCCCGCCGCTCATTACATACTGCACCTCATTCGTGTCCTTCTCGGGTTGGCTGCTTATCTACATCGCATGCCATTGGAACGCAGAGGGACACAGGATTGGCTGAGACCAGCGTAGTCCAATATGTCTGCGTCCTCAGACGTCGCCACATTACGTGCAGGGTTGAGTGACGTAAAACTGTAGTGTCTCGATTTCTTGTCTGAATTCTAGAGCAAGTTAGTGGAGAGTTAACGGAGCCACAAAAGTATTTTTTACGTCAAGCCCTACAACATTTGCCCGTAACCAAGAGAAAACCATTCAGATACCGGCACCAGATCACTTGTTGACGCTAGAACCGACCTTCCCACGCTAATACAAAAACAAAACCAGAGCTTGTGCAGAGAGCTTTAATCACGTCAACCACGTGCAAGTGAGTTGTCAGAAGTGTACACTAATTCAAGTCAAGGTAGACCATGACCTGATATAAAAGCGCAATAAAATAGATGTCAAGGAATTAATGTAAATAATGACAAAAGTCGGTGATGAGCAATTATGGGGAATCCTGGATAACCAACAAAACCTTAACAGCCCTAGTCGCAGTGAAGAGTTGGCAATCGAGACGGTGTTAGTACTGTTCGGTAATCCTTATTTCATGGAATTAACACGATGCAGCAATTTGCTTCTGACTGCAAATAAATGGCAGTCCGCGGTGGTTGAAGTGGGTATTGTGGCGACGAATAATGGCCAGACATATTGGACCACGCTGGCCTCAGCCAAACCTCTGTCTCTCTATGTTCCAATGGCATGCGAGGAAGATAAGCAACCAACCAGAAAAGGACACGAATGAGGTGCAGTATCGTAGAATACCTGAGCCCTAATTGGAAGAACACCGCTACAACAGAACAGGCATTATTGACCAATCACATGCCAGAGCCACAGGTCAGGCGACTTCCATCCGAGTCCGCCACGCTGGCCACGCCGCTCCTTATATACTGCACCTCATTCGTGTCGTTCTCTGGTTGGCAGCTTATCTTCCTGGCATGCCACCGGAAAGCAGAGAGACACAGGATTGGCTGAATCCAATGTCCAAATATCTGCGCCCTTAGACATGGCCAGCATGGTGGACTCCGATGGAAAGCGCCTGACGTACTACTGCCACCATCAGTTAGTACATCTGTTCGAAGAAATTTTAGTACCATACGAAAATCCAGACATATTGAACCACACTGAGCTCGGCCAATCGCCTGTCGTCGTTGAAAATCAGCAGCCAACCAGAGACAAAGACGTATGTCCAGGCCCATTTGTACGGAGGGCGCAGTTACCAAGATATACACAAAATTAAGACATTTTACCTTCGCACAAATCTCGTTTGAATTTCCAAGAAAATCCAAAAGAGGTGATTTCGGATTCTTTGAGCTGCAAAGATTAGGTGAAAAGTCGACAACGCAGATCTTGTTGGAAACATTTTTCTTGGGCGGCTGGATGATTGGCACACGTAGTAGATAATGTCGGATATTCAGAATATTAAGTTTTGCACAAATTTATGCTTGCATGAACAGATTAGTGACATAGATAGCAGCAGGGATAAAGGTGCGTTCACCGATGTCCAGTGCATATACCTAAATATTCAGATCTGCTTATCTGAAGAATATTGACTTGCTTTAGGAGACCGTTACAGAGGATTTAAAAACCATTATATAAGAAGTATTTTGTACATTACTGTCGGATGAATTCAACTTTAATAACCTATTAGCAGGCATTTCCGGCTAAATTGCTCATGCAGAGTTATATTAAAGTGATCGTATCTAAATCACCTTATCAGAGAAATGTGTTCATAGTGAATTTTATGAAGCTGCTCAAATATACAACGCCATGGCTACCACAAAAACTAGAAATGTTTCAGGAGTAAATGACAAAAGCAATAAGCTAATGCATTATTAGATTTTGGATATCATCTAAGGACTTCTGTGAATTAATCGAAGCCCTGCTTTTGGAAAAGGCACCTTTCTTGGAAAATATCGCCAGAATACAAATGTGTAGCAATAAGAATAATTGAAGAGGTTACATATGATGAATTGCGAGCAGAATGATTGGAATAAAAACAACCAAGTAGATAAATTCTATACACTTGCCGAGAAAATACCATAAACTTGGAACCAGAAATTTACGTATTTGTTAACAGAGTGGAAAGGCATTATTGTATCATAAAAGTACTAATTTGGAGCACAGTGATTCACCTGCCTTTCCACTCAGATGATTGCATTGATTTAATGTCGTCAGTATTTCAGGAGACTAATAACCAAAGCCGTAATTTGCTTTTACGGGAATAATATTGAAGTTAAGGCATTTAGCGAACTTTTTAGCAATTTTTAGTAGTAATGCAGTTTTTATTTATAAGTATTGCAGACATAAGAGATGAACTCATTAGAATAAAAGAAGGTTTACATTGAATCGGCTTGTTTTAACTCACGTAGTTGTCGAGAGCAAAATACGAAATATTATTTTGTTATTCGTGACGGATGCCATTGTCCGATGCACGTATGTGAATCTTTAGATATGTGAATAAACTTTAATAAGCGAAATGTAATTTTTGTAGAAGTCTCTCAACAAACCCCGTTTTGGGAGAATTTATTGACTCCCACGGTTTACATGTTCACTTGAATTGCTTGGTAAGTCGTTGCAGAAACTTAACTCACACATTTTATTAGTATACAGCAAGCGGACTTGTTCAGAGAACCGATCCTGACAAACTCTCACCTAATGAAAATGGCGCTTACATAGCTGGATTTGATGTCGATGAGGTAAAATCTGAGCTAAAACGCGGGACACGCTTACGTTGTCGCCACTGCAACATGACCGGTGCGTGTGTTGGGTGTTGCAATTCGAAATGTCGTGCATCGTTTCACCTTCCCTGTATATTTGAAGCCAAAGGCTTGACTATTTTCAGTGGCGCGTTCGATGCCTTTTGTTCCCACCATCGACCATCACAGGTAACTGCATGTGCAAAGCAGCTGTATTTTATACAGACTTCTCTGTTTGATAGACCCACTCATTTTTATCATCCAGGATCTGAAATCACGTCTGGAGACCTATAATGATGACCCCCCCGAGTGCTGTATATGCCTATTTAGCATTTTCCCAGAAGAGGACGAAGCCGTCTCCAATACGGATAGCTTGTGCAAATCGCTTTCTCCAGATCAAGTTACGTCACCGTCAAGTACTTGCAGAAAATCCGTTACTATTGCTGGGGATGCCTTGTGCCCTGTTCTTACACCCGCACCGAAACAGCAATCTCAAAGGTATTCAAGGCATTCGTTACATTCCGCCTTTTGGTAGCCGTTCATGATAAATCTATTTCCATCAAATGACTTGATTGAGCAGGTATAATTGTAAGTTTTTAAATTTCTTACGTAACTAAAGTCCCGCCTCTGATCTTCTTCCAAATTTTTGTGATGTTTAACTTTCTAATTTCTGGGACGATAAGTTACAATCCTTTTTAGGCGAAGATTATAACAATTCAGACTGGAATAGGATACCGCACTTCATGAATTAAGATATTAAATAATGTCTAAGTCTCTCTAACACTATTAGACATAGTTCTGTGTATTGCAGCGTGGCTATCTAACGTGCGTTTTCCAGAAATTATGCGCAAACATATCTTACTGTGTAAATAGACAGTTCAGTTTAGGTAAATACCGTGTTTTTCTCGACAGTTGCATTCCTGTTAACACCAGATGATGATTTTGTTGCTTCTTGGAACGTGTAAACTTATTAGTTGGGTCCAGTGGGCTTTTGGTGTTTCTTAGTACATCTACTGTTATCAAAGTAGATCCACCTAAGCGCAATCAATGAAATTAAATCTGCATTTTGTCATTTAACGTACCGTTTATGCGGATTCGTAGCAACAACCACTGGGAGGTCAACACGTCGACTCACGGCGACTCGAAACGCACGCCGCTTCAAAGGGCCTCTCAGCTGTCGAGCTGGAAGAGACGCCTCCTCCACAGCACCACGCCTTCCAAGACACCCGGCCGGGCAACAACAACATTGACGCCATTCGACGCCTGGTCGCACGGTGTGATCCACGGGGAGTGCTGTCGGCCCGCCTGGATGCATCGTGACTGCGCCGCCGGCTACGCGCGCTCGGCTGGCCTCCACCACGTCAAGTGCCCGCTCTGCTTTAACCGCGACACCTTCATTTCCACTCTTCTGAAATTTGGCGTTTGGGTGCCTGATCGGTACAGTAGCGTCCCATCTATTCCGCAGTAGTTCCCGTCAATGAACACTTGCGGCTTGCGTTAGCCAGTATAGGAGCCTAATTTTAAGGGTCAAAACTGTTAAGTCTGTTGGTGTTGGGGAGTCACGCAACGATCACATCTATAGCGAAATCGGACAGAAAATGTGTAGTAGAGAGCCTGTTTTTTTAAAGAAACTCATTTGGATCACATGAAGCAAAAACTTTCCATTTTAATTGGCTTAAGAGGTCGCCTCTGTCTCAGATTCCTGCTTGATTTGTATGCTTCTAGACTGTTGTACAAACTTTGCTCTGCCGTTATTGTAGAGACGCTTCATGGGAGTTGGAACCAGGCGCATTTGCATACTCCCAGGGTCCTCCTGTGGTGGGGGAGCTGGCGGCGGGTGGGGGGAATGCCTCTTCTGAACCAAACGACGAAACCCATGTTGTCCTCACCGGGACGCCGTCAGACACCCCACCCTCGCCCTCAAGTCGCGTTGAAAAGCCCCAAATTGACGGTGGTAGCGAGTTTCGAGTGTCTCCGATGCCACCGCCTCCCAGACGACGTCGGCGGAACACGGTGGTCGTCAGGCGGCCGACCGCTACTCCGGGACCCTCACGCACACGCAGAAGTCTGCGTCGGCTAGCTCAAACTCCACTCGATTCTAACTCTCTCGTCACAGACCGTCTGCCCGCTCTCCTGGAGTGCTCGTTCGATACCCCGGGCTCCAGTGAGAAGGAGAACAGGCGTCCGTCACCCACCACCACCGCCACCACCACCACGGATCCCCTCACACTCCTCCCCCCGTCTTGTCCACCTCCAACAACCAAGGCGAGGAGGCGGCGAGCTCAGAGTAACTTTGCCGGGGCTCGACTCAAGCAAACTGTCATCTCGTCGTTCTTTGAGCCCGTCGTCGCGGCTGGCGGCGACACCGTGGGTGGTGATGTCCGCGATGATCCCGAAATCGAGCGGACGAATGCGCTGTTCCGGTCGATGATGAATGTCGACCGGACACCAGTGACGAAGCCCAGCGCTGGACGGTACAGCCTTCGGAGCAGTAAAAGCGGCACATCCTCTTTGCTGTGAAATGCCATTGTGTGTTGATTGACGCCCCCCTCCTCCACCCCCCACGTCTGTCAGTCTGGTCATTTGCATTCGCCAGGACACACTACGTCTACTCACCTATGCTTAATATAACTTACCAACATGCATTGTGCTGTGGTAATCTGCGTCTCATCGTAGCACCTACTAAACCGTTGTACTTAAATCAAATTAGTAGCACGTGTGGATCAGTGCCCACTAGTCTTGATTGAAGCCTGATGTAGTTTCGAAAAAACGGAGATATGAGGTTAATCTCAGCACTGGATTAATTTTGAAATGCATAAATGGGAACAAGGGTTTTTCTTTTCAAAAAAAGTTATTAATTCTAGTCGCACGCCTGCACTGGGGTCACACAAAGGCGTTGTGTTCTGTACACATCGAGGCGGCGTCGTGTTGGCCGACGTCGTCTGCGTTGAAATCGGCGGACGTGGTGTTGGCGAAGAGCACGCAGTTGGTGCCACCGCCGCGCCCGGGCTGAGTCAGCGTGGCGTAGTCGAGCGCGTTGGCAGACGAGGTCACCAGTAGGTTGGTCGCGTCGACGTCGTTGATGTCTGCGGTGAGTGGCACGGACTGGAGAATGACGGTTTTGTAGGGCTGCGACGATGACGTGCTGGGGTGGCCGGTAGTCGCCTTGTACTGAGGCATCAGGTAGTGGCAGGTGTGGGCAGATGACAGCGCCTGTGCAGCTGATGGTGCCTAGTAAAATTTTCGAAAAAAATTAGTGTATATTACAATGGGTTGCAAAATTAAATTCAGTATTTAAATATTCCGCAAGGCGAACAGTAAACTTAAAGTCATGCGCGCGGCTCAGCGATCGATACGCAAGCGAATCAAATATTGATTATTGATTTTTGCGCATCGACTCGAGATTTGCTATCGTGCAATGCATTGTGGCCTTTTCGACAGCAAATTATCGATACATTGGGTTCTAGAGAAACGAAGATTTGTATATCCTCACCAATGATCGCATTTGGATACCAGCTGCTCAGCGGTCGATACTCAAACGAGTCAAATATTGTTGTATTGATTTTTGCACATCGATTAGAGTTTTGTGCCTGTTTAGCAAAATTGTGGCCGATTCGAGAGCAAATTATCGATCCACTGAGTTCTATAGAAAAGTAGCTTTGCATATCTTCACCTATAATCGCAGTTGCCTTTCATAACAGATGAAGCCATCATTTATTATATTCATATTAAATTACCCCTAAACACAAGGCACCGCGTGATTTAACAGGTCGAAATTCCCCGCCTGAAAAGCTGTGCACAATTCTGGCGCCGGGGTGGTCCGGCGGAATTGGCGAACCAGTTGGTTTGGGGTCTGATTTCTACAGCCTGGCCAAATTAAGACCCCTGGAATCATTGATTTTACGAGTTTCCACGATGCCATTTCTGAAAGTAACTCGGTCTGGTGGGCTGGCTTACTTTCACTCAATAACTGATAATCTTGGATTGGATCAGCTAAGTCCACCCTCCCTCAAAAAGTGGCAATTCCTTCCCCATTTATGGACGACGGTTATACTAAGCATCAACCTTGATATCTATGTTCCCCTTTGACTTGCAGAAACCGCAATAACTGTCTGGCCTTCTACATGCTATCGATCACCCATAATCGTTATTTCGTCTGAAGGACTAATTATGCTCGATCACATAACCGGTTACACCCAGAAACTTGGATCGTTTAATTGGTGAAATTGAGGAATCCTCATCGCAATGGATACCGAAGGACGTGAAGAATGCATACCAGTCTCACTCAATTCTCAAGTGTCCAAAATTAGTTCGGATCATTCCAAATCCCAACAAATGGGGTCATTTTCTGGAGAGCAACCTGAGGCCAATTTCGGTTGGATGGTCAGATTCTCCAGTTCAACTGACGTGCTTATCAATTTGCGCACTCTGGCGGTATTTTTGTACACGTGGTCGTTTTGTGTGACATGGAGGTGGTGTAAAGAGAGGAACGACTGACATTTAATTCACTCAAAGGAAGTCCTTACATGCGGCTAAAACATGCATCAAAAAATCGAACCCCGGTATCGATCGAGTCCGCGTTCTCTCATGCCTGGTATGAACTGTCTTGATTACAACTCACGATGGAGTGTCATCAGCCAATAGTTGGCCTTGATTACCACGGAAAAAATCGATTTTTTCTGCAAAGTTCTTTCTCAGGCTCATTGTAGCCGACTCCCTTTGTTAATCACGGTAATGCGCACAAGAAAAGCCTGAACCCCTCTCTCGCCACATATCCAATTTGTTGTCTTTTAGTGACAAAGTTGCCATTTGAAACACGGCTACCGTCTAAGTGTTTGTTCATACTTCTGCATTGTCATTGGTCGCAGATTATGCATTTTCAGCTGCAACAGAAGTTTCTTTCAAAAAAGGCATTTGTGACCTCAGATAGCGTAGAATTGTTACAATCTAATCCACTCGGGAGAGGTATGGCTCTAGAGTTGCAGGCAATACGGTAATTGAATTACTGGAAGCAGATTACATTTGTAAGACGGGTATGCCAATCGATTTGTACTCTGGGCAAAATGCAAAACCCAAGTTATAGAAAAGAATTAACCGAAGCGGCGCCATTTTGTCAGCTTCTTCATTCACTAGTAATGAATTTTGATGATTCACAAGTACAAGATAAAACGCACTTCTCATCCGCCAAATTCAATGCAATTTAAGGGATATTAGTTTAAAAAAACGATAATTTGCTAATTACTCGCATATTTCAGGAATCCCTAAAAGAATATACCGTAATTTCAAGCTTGTTTGGTGCTTACCGCGACAGTTTTGGGGTGTACCCGAAAGAACACGTCATTACTGTTAGAGGGAGGTGTCAGATTCACCACCTGTTCGCTTGCATCCCGCTTCCGATCCTCACAATGCCAGTAGGGTTGGATGTGCTGGCGACCAGCAGTGGATCGCACACCATCCCACCTGGGTCCATTCGACGTGATGTGCACCGTCTTGAGTGTTGACTGGGGCGAGGGAATCTGCTCAACATTTTGCTTGATTTCACAAAAACGCACTTCTGGCTTCGGTCCTACAGAAAAAAGTCTTAACTCAATAATGTGCCGCGCTGTACCTCCTTTTACACTAATAAAATATTGAAAAATTTAAAAAGAACGAATACCTAAGGCAGGACTTTCGGATACATTTGAGATGATCGATTTCCTGATAAATGAAAGCATCTGCAACGCCTTAAATTGCGCTCCATGGAAGGTTAAAATGTAAAATCACATCGTAATGACGTCTTTTTACTAGATACACTTGCGGTAAGCAGAAAATTTTGTTTAAATCAGCCAAGATGATGAGCTGGCGCGACGTCACAAATTGAAATTCCCGGCTCCTGCATTTTTTCGTGAAGTTACTTATTTAGGCTAAATAACAGATGGATTTTAAAAGGCTTTCACCTCGGCGCGTATGCACACATCAGCATAAAAGCCTTGTCGCCAGAATTCAAAGTGGTTTTTACACCGTGTTAGCGGCTCATGTGTAATTGCTTAAAACGGGAAGCTGAACCCACACTTAGCGCCTCACCCCTAGTTTGTTTGTATGAAATATTGTACATTAAGGTGCAAAATAAAACCCGCGAAAGTCAAAATAGGTGTTTGAGCAATCAGAGTTCCTGGAAAACACTAAAAGGGCTCAATTTACTAGCACTTTACAACTGCATCACAGGCAAAACGGTGATTGGCCGTCGTGGTGTGTAAACGTGACCAATCAAATTGGAGTGGGAAAGTAGCCAATCCCAGTGTCGCAAATGGCACCAATCACAATCACCCAAACAGATTCACGAAAATAATTTATTGATTTCATCGACATAACTCAATTTTACCTCGCTCGTTAACCCACGAAGGTCGCAGATTCGTTTTGTAACGTGGAGCGCGCTTTGATACTTGCGTGTTAACAACTCCCTTGCATTTTCGGAAGCGTTTTCATGAATATTTTAAGCAATTTATATGATCATCTTCGATTACTAAAAGCGGCGCTCTACTGAAGAAACACATTAATCCTTCGGATTCAAAGCTGTTCTAAAAACCAGTTTTGTGGAGTACACCGAAGCGAAAATGGCTGCAGAGTGTTCTGTGGAGGTTCAGCAAGGTCAACAATGATAAAACAAAACCACGAAAATGGGTCACATTATCTGGTGAAAACTCACTTCGTTTTCTGCAGGATGAAAGGAACACGCAGACAAGGTTGACTGTGACGGAGATTACGAGGGAGATGACGAGGACCGTGATTAGCGTCTTTTTAAACTCCTCATTTCCTACAAAACCAAGGCAGTACTTATTGCAGACAGAAATATGCACGTCCGATATCAAAATGCATGATATTTCAGGCCTGTTATGAAGTCATGGAAACCATTAGCGATGCTGCAATTATAAATACGTAGTCGGTAGTTTGTTCGCTCAAAAATGCGAAAATTGACAGGATGCATTTGGGGATGCACTGTTCACACGATAAAGGCACAGTTAATATATGCATGTGAGATTAGGCATATACGAAAACTTTTGTTCCTTTTCTGCCTGGGAATATGCTAGGCCATAAAAATACGATCCGACTAATGCCGCCTTATTTGATTCTTACGGATACTTGTAAATTTTGTAGTAAAATTATGAAACATTAAGGTGACTAGCGAACGGTTATCTGGTGACAATGGAACAGAATTTGGCCTGGGTTAGGTTGCAGTAATTTACAATGGCTCTCTACCAATAACATGCACAACTGCAATGACATTCCATGGAGCTGTGACAGTACAGCAAATAGACCAACGCAACACATTCTTCTTCCTGGTTATTATTTATTTTCTGTGAGTGAAGTGATAGATCGAAGCTGGTCAGAGCGATCCAATCGGTATACAGCAACGTAATCCCAACAGACCACCAATCAAACCTGACGACAACACTCAAGCACCTCTCTACCTGGAATTCGGCGGAATTGTAACTTTAGTGAATCCTAATCGGGTAAATTCTTCGGCCTCGGGTTCACAGCTAGCCCCAAATCGTTACTGCAGGACTGGTGGTTTAGCGTAGGACAGGAACTTCAGCTGCTAGGTCTAATTTTCGATGGTATCCACTCCACAACTAGGCATCTGTCAAGTTTTCTAGATTCTCAGATGTCAAGGCCTTTTTGGGATGGAGAATATTTGCCCACAGTACAGACAGGTGAAATCTTAAGCCCGGGTTTATAGGTAAATTTCACAATTGTTTCCGCGATTATAACTGCCACTGAAGACCATTATTTCAAGTTTGTTCATAGAGGGAAAAAATAATGAACAAAATTTATATTTTTAGTGCAGAATCCAATGTTGCATTGGTTTACAGTGTTTTGTGATCTCTTATTGGTGTGTTTTATTGACTTGTGTCGTGATTGGTTAAATATGCCTCTTTGTTGTTTCATTGGTTAAGCGAGTTCAGTGCAGCACACATATTTGATTTGTTAACTATCACAAAATGACCAGCCGTAGTGAGTTAATTTGATGAAATAACTCCATTCCCTTATTTCAGCCGATATCTCTGTGTTTTAGATAAGTCAAACAAAAAACATATATACTAAGCGATATTTACAGCTTACTGAGTCGGCACACACGTAACGCACTCTCAATGGCACGCCTTAATCATCCCTTATGCGGATTTTTTTAAAGAATACTCAATAAAAGACATTTTCTAAGTTAGGCGATGAGGGAACATCTGGTCAAAATTTTCTTCTTTTAATTGGCGGAAGATGAAACAAATATAGTAGAAAAGTTTTTCTATTTAGTCCCCGGAAATGCTAGGGGAAAGGATTTAAACAAAAAAATCGATATTGGATTTATCACTGTTTTTTTAAAATTCACAGCTATAATTTTTGCTTTCCAACAACTTTATTTTTTTATTGGCTACTGCATGTCGCATGACAGTCGGCAAGATTTCGATACGAGCACAACGAATCTCGAAAATAACTGTCATCAGTTATCAAAATTTTGCAAAAGTGATGCCAGTTTCTCATTATTAGTACCCCTGAAATAATATTTACTGTATTTTTAATTATATCTTATCAATTTTAACGGAGGTTGAGCTTACGACAAAATATTTTCTTGTTTATGGATTTCCTAATTGTAAATAACGATAGTGTAAGCGAATTTCACTTTCGCGCCAGTCGGCTAATATGTTCCTCTATCAAATTGTGTGAACATTTGTAATTATTCAAGTACATCACTTTGTTCATTAAAACAAAATAATGATTCTACGGAATAACTCTGGTTGTTCCTTCCGCTTATGATTTAGAAGTTGAAACAAATGCAGCAGTTGCACCCAGCTTCTCGATTTCGCAGTGGTAAGTTCTTGAAACCGGAAGATTAAAAAAAGCATTTACTACCTAATAAGTCTCTAAGTCGTCATAGAAACGAGCTATGTTTTTTTCAGAGGCATTTAATTAAAAAACTTCTTCCTTTAAAAGCCTGCAGCTCACTAATTTAATATTATGTTAGTTTTTGATTTGATTAACTATACTCAAGGGAGCCAAAATAATTATTGGCTGATTTAAACGGGCGCGTCAATGTCGGCTTTGAAAATCGATAGGAATGTTAGTTTCCGGAGTGCACAAAGACTGTGACGCTGTATTATTTTGTAGTTTAAGCGGAATTATAGACACCCTCAAAATTTCTTCGCACGCGAGGTTGGATATTCGAAGTTAATCTTTTTCCTTAGTGTTGACAGTGCCTTTGGTTTAACCATTAATTATTGGACGAACAATGATAAATTGCTCTTCACTAAGGTGGGTCACTGTCGGACAGGAAAACAGAATCAGATTGTCAAAACTGCGTCTTAGTTTATCTTAGCGAACGCAGAAGACGCACTAAGTCGTGTGAACTAAGATTAGCAAACGATTAGACTGGATATACCAGTTTTCCCACTAAAATTAGGAATTTAACGCTCAGGCAAAGTCATCAACTCAAGAAAACGACTTAAATCGATGTGATAAAGAGGGTTTTTAAACGTTTACTTTCTTTGTTTACCACAAGTAAAAGCAATCCTCAGACTTAGAACCTAATTTGATCATGAAATCCCGTTTCAAGACGCATGTAATTATACGAATCGACTAAAAGGGACCATAAAAGTAACCTAACGCGTTGATATATTTAAAACAAATCCGCGGGCAGACATTTTAAGGGGAAAAGAGCTCTTTTATGCTGAGCATGGCGTGAAAATTTGTGTGGCCTACTTTATGTGTCATAATTTGCGTCGTAAACGGGGCATTTTCGCCAATGCATTCAACTCTGCGCATTCATTCAGTAGAAATGGCATCACCATTGCAAAGCATTGAATCTTTAGACTCCAAAAAAACATTCATTACACCATTGGAGTCAATTTTCTTGGTTTTTATCGACACGCATCAATAGACAGCCGGGTGGTTTCTTGTCCAATGAAATGCATGGCCCTTTACCAACATGACTCGGGTTCCTAAAGGTTGAATGAACCCCTTCAATGGCGGTTTGCAGTATCTTTTGAAGAAATGTAGATAAAGGAATTATCGATTTTTTGTAAAACAGCATAAATTGACTGACAAATACGCTGCGCGGATAATCTAAACTGGTTTGTCCCTGATGTGGTATGGGCAGCAATCTCAATTATTCTATATTACTTTAAACGAAACGTTTTAGTTAATTTAGTACTTATTGTATCGTTATATCAGAGATTGTAAGATTATGTGTGTGTGTGCGGTGTTTCAACAAATCACAGAGCAGAATAACTGACTCACTCGGATCGTCGTGGGGTTGCGTAGCAACTGGCAGATCACCTTCACCGTCTCTCTTTCCCTTGAGCATTTCACGGGAATTCAAGCGTCCACTGATGGAGCTCAGCCAAGGTGACAGGGAACCAGACCTGCCATGGGGCGTGGGGGTAGTTCCTGGTCTGTTCAACTCCGTCGTGGTGGTGGTCAACGCAGCGGTGACGTTCACGGTCTCCGTAGACTTCCCCGCGTGGAAACAGCCCCAGGTGCCTTCAACGGCCACGTCACGCCGATCGATGATGTATCGGAACTTCCAGATATTGTACATGTCCCTCACAAACAAGTCTTCAACGCACTCAACCAAAAAGAGTCGTGGCTTGTCGGTGCAGTCTGGAAGGGAGCAAACGCGTCGACAATTTTCAAAGCAGAGACTCGTGTTTGGCACCAGTGGACACAGGAGGTGCACCGAGTGGTCTTTCGATGGTAAGCTGACCTCGCATGTAATCACCGCGACATCTCTCGACTCGTCTAGGTAAATTATAAACTCGCTAGGAGCCTGCGGTGGGTGGAGGAGCGAAGCCGAAGAGTTCACAGACGTCTGAGTCCCCTTTTGCTGCCTTTCTGGAGCTTCGTCTGGTGATGTTATTCCAAAAAAGGCATCCAGTTTGTCCGGATCACTCCCAAGGACACGACGCAAATCTAAAATAAGAACACAGAGCTATTGTGCGTCCGCGTTTTACTAAGCGGATTGTATCTATGGTCACAAGAATTGGGAAAACGCACGCGAAACTATGTCGGTTTGGAAAAGCAGTTGGTAACCCAACTCCTCCCCCAAATCATATTTGATTTCTCAGCTTTTATTTTCGCAAAAATGTCAATATTGTTTTAATTATTTAGACACAGAAGGCCCAGAAGCACGCAGTTTTCTGATTTGCATTTCAAATCTGGTCACGAATACTTGGAGCTTTAGTTGCTTTACACTCTGGAAATAGGACGTTTAATTTTTAATTTTTGATAAAAATACTTTCACTTTTCACTCGATTTAAAATGTGCTAATTTGCAGTTGGTATGTAAGTAAATATTTTCAAATTTGCTCAGTGGCAAATTATGATTGGATGTTGATATCGATTTTTTCGTCGATTTGCAAAACAGCACATTTGACGATTTTTGTCTGTACTTTGGCCAACAACATAATTTCTAATCTCGGTCAAGAACAGTTAAAGTTTTGAAGGATTGATAACCAGTAACAATTGTTATAGTCATAGCGAAATTCCCTGTGTTTCGAAAAACGCGCCGATTTAAGTGATTACTAACTTACCTAGAAACAATAAGCACCCCAAGAGGAGGTATTTGAAGTACACCATGTTGTGGTGTATTTGACATGCACTCTAACTTGTCTCCCCTGTTGTCGCGAACTTGCCCGATTTGACTTGAGCCCTGATTGGTTGAATAGTCGGACCAATGGACAGGGCCTCTGCCTCAGTCATTACCTTTGGATTAGGCTTCTATCTGACATCCGCTTCAAAACGTGGTTTCTCGCCGCCCTCATTTTTTCTCCACCTCTCATTGTCCAGTTGGCTTTTTTTTGCCCGATATAACTTTGATTATGTTGTTAGTGACCAGAGCCAAATGCACTTTTTGTAAGGATGAACTGAGTAAATAAGCATTTTATGCCTATTGAAAAATCATCCAATCGCTACTGACCACGATGAGTTCTATTTTAACATCAAATCCCATTGGATCCTGCTGAAACCCTGTTCTGTGGTTGCCCAAAAATTTGTGTGATAGAATTCTCTCAAGCTACTTGTTGTCTGTTAGTGAATTCCTATGGAATGTGCTGCATAGCGAGAGGGTTATTGTGTAGAGATCACTTGATTTTCATAATGGCGGCCACGCTACCCTGTTTCATTCATCTGGCCGTCCTTGGCTTAAAATAAATTTCCACAAGGATCTGTGACGCATTTGACTGACAGAAAATCAATAATATGATGAGAAAAGCAGCATCAGGATAGTCAAATATGGAGGCTCCTACCGCCCAATCGGAACGTTTCAGCGGTTTGGTAAAACAAATTTAAATCTTCGATTGCGTAAGATGCCATTCAATTGCTGTCAGGAGCCCTATCACAGACACTATGATCCTTGCGAGTCGCCAAATTCATTTTAACTGTGTTAAGGCAGAATGTTTGATTTTAGTCACTTTATTTGCAATTTTAAAGTACTTACAAGCATAATTCCCACAAAACACCCAGTGTTTCGTCCGGGGTCCTAGTTTAGTCACGACGTTTGTCATTTTTCCCTTCTGTTTTAGAAAACCAGCCCTAACATCTTTGGTTGCACATGCTTCAAAGTCGGGAATCAAAGAATCGCCGTAACCATGGCAATACAGCGATTCAAATCAAAGAGACTGCGCAACAAGTTGCATCCGTTGCCCATGTTCCTCCCTACCTGTGTTGTGCCGTAGCAATGCACACACCCACAAGAAAAAGACAGTCGCACAAATACAAAATAATTGCAAGTAATTGTTCGATTTAAACCAATTTCCCCCGGATTATTTAAAACAGTCCATAAATTCATGCAGTTGGACTGAATTAAACAACTTTGTTTGCTTGAGCCAGCAAAATTTCCTATGCTTGCAGCACATCTGGTTTTAATCGATTCAGTAGGTGGGCGCGCGAATTGACTGAGACGCCATTTTTGAACGCAATGCCCACCTAAGTTGCCTACTTTAAGTGAAAAAGCAGCAGGTCCAGAATTTATTTTCAGTAAGGACAACCGTTTAGCTGGAAAGTGTAGGATGATTACTGAAAAAACAACTTTTTAAACGAATCCAACACGTGCACCCACAGAAGATATCGATTTGGCAGAGAGGCCTCAGCGGTCTTCTCTGGTGGTACCGCTAAAATTCAGAAAAGACGTCCATTAAATACTAGCAAGGTCACGTACAAATAATATGGAGTGGATGTGGACATATCAAGCGCGTTGTCAACGCTGTGGTTCTGACACTAACATAATCAGTGTAATCGATTTAAAGGTGGCACGAATTCCAACTCGATTTAGCACTTAAACAAAAAGGCGCGAAACGAAATATGTAATTTCGTGAGTTATCGTTGGCCAACGTACCCAGATGGACGACCAGGAAGGTCTGCCTTACATTCTTGAAGTCGCCGATGTCCGCGTGGCAGGTTAGTAGACGCAGGTGACTCTTCCAGTTCAACGCAAGATCAGCAGTCACAGAGACGTTGAATTCACCTGTTCAAACGTTGCATATCATGATCATAGAAAGCAAGATGAAAATGCTCACACTTGCTTAATCAGCACAGTCGGACAACGCAATTTAGAATGCCTCGAAAAGAGGACAATTTTGCGATCAGCCACGATGATTTGGCACATTCTAAATCTGTAATTTGTCATTCGGTTTCATTATTACCTAGTAAATAATGGTCTCCTATTGGTTTCCAAAATTTAAACCACGCTCCATCAAATATCCAAAAAAACCAGGTTAATCGACCAATCGAAAACATGGCGGCTAAGTCGAATTGGTGTTCAGATTTTTTGAACTTGAAGAGATCAGGCATGTAAATTAAGGGGTAAAATTAATAGGGTTTTTAACTATTTATAAACAATTACCAAAAATGGGACTTATAAGTAGCGAGATTGAATTCGATGCATCCCCGAAAAAGACTAATTAACATTGCTTTTTGTAGGGAGTTGTTTTAATTCAACTATGTAAGCTTCAGGGTAATTAGTGAAAAAGAAGGTAAGGTAGAAAAAAACTGTGCAATTGGTTGAGTTTACTTGAAAATGAACCGTGGACAGAGTGGAAATTTTGTGGACGGTCAAACAATGCCTTACTGTGATTGACGCCTGCTCTTGGCAAATTTGTGTTTGCGTGAGTAGTGGGTCTTTACGCAAAGGATTCAGGAATAAGCACTGGGCAAGGGCATGAATGACATATTCGTCCGCCGACCTCCTGCAAACAATAGGACGGAAGCTGGCAACACACCTTCCTTCCGGCCACCATTTTTACTGGACAGATGAAGGTTTTATTGACGGTACCTCAACCTCTGAGACATCTAGTGTGTGTGTCAAATAATCCGTGCGTTTTAGATGGCAGATGTGTGCACAGGTGCTGTGTTAACATTGACGAAAAGACGTCAGCCATCAGGTAGTGATGTTGTAGTGCCAAAAGCAGACGTCAATCTTGAATTCAACTAAACAACTGTTGCCTACCGACGCTTCCTATTCACTTCGGCATATTTAAAGTGATGAGATTCAACGCTCAAAATTGGCGGCATTTTGAAGATGCAGGTGCGGCAGTAGAAGGACGAGGGTCTTAATCACACCACCATTTTATATTGGCAAATCAATAAGAGTATGGCTGTGTTTGTCATCGCATGAGGTGTGCCTAAGCGGTTCGTGGGATTTGTTCATTGGCTGGAGGTGAATTGCAAAAATCAATTTTTTGGCTTTAGTTTGAAGTATTGATGTTTTGCTTTAACTAATTCAAACCGCACCGCACACCTGATAGGCCTTTTGCTATTGGCCCCCATCGGTGTGTGGTGACTGCCAATAGCACCAATCCAATTAACGTGTTCATGCACAGAAGTTTTACCCGTTTTTTCGATCTTTTTTATTGGTTCAGACGTAGCTATCGGTTCACCGCCGAACATGAGGCGTAGACTGGGTGGTCGACGGCTACCGCGAGCAGAACAAACAGCCCTCACAGTATCTCTGTCTTGCAGAAGAGTGCCATTCTGAAGGAATACATTCAGGTGCATATTCCTGTCTGAAAGTACACCAAAAACCAAACATTTAAAGCTCATTCTAAACTCGCTTTCAAATCTGTACCAAAAGCTAGCGCAAGTTGTGCGATTTCAATGATCCCCAAACCAGTTGCTCGCAGTAGTAATCACACGCGCTTCGCATAGCAAGGCTTTGTATTGCCATTAAAACGTGTCCCTGCGAGGCATTTTTAGTAGCTCGGCAGAACGGAACTGATGGTTTTTAATTAAGCCCAAGCACAAACAGTAAACGCGCTTAACCAGCCTAATGCGATTAGTCTGTCCACACCTGAGATTATTCCGCTCTGATAGGAACTGTGATTGCAAAAAAAACACGCAACCAGGTAACTGTAGAACTTGTTGACACTGCCTTGTAGGTTGATATCACAATCACGAAATGGATCTGCGGTAGTGAGATTATTTTGGTGAATAGCTGTGTCGACTAGTCTATCGCATGAACCATGTCTTGAAGAGATCATCTACATGAATGGTTGGCGGAGTGCATACTTAGTTTGAGTAATTTAGGCGATGAAAGCCAATGACTCTGAAGCAGTCGAAGGAATCTTCAAAACCCACGTTACTGAGGTTTGTGAACAATATAGAGGTTTCAGATATTAACTTGAATGCGTCTGATTTTCACGCTAATTGACTGTAGAGATAAAAACGAGCGCTTTAGCAGTACATAGGGCATCAGAAAGTCGTACTACAAAAATGTTTGGGAAATCAGCTAAACCCAGAAATGTCCCCAATTCAAGGTCAAGGTGGGAATCGGCCTAGGATACTTGTCAGTTCACACGAGTAGTTCAGCGGAGGCAGGGGGCGATTGTGGAATTTCGAACACCTGCGATCGGATCTTCGTGGTCGGACATTGAAATTTTGCATTTCTGGAAATCAGATTTTTTTAAATCAGCTTTATTTCACAGGAAACATTTGAATGCAGACAAGAAAGTTAAGTTTCCCGTGTGAGTAATAAAGTAATGGAAAAGGCGACATGGGCAATCAACAGATCATCTTGAATCATTTTGGAAACGTGGTGGTTCAATGTTGAGGCGTCGGCTTACAGAAGAAAACTTGGCATCGATTTCTGATTGAATATCGATACGTGAAGTACTAACAACGCTCGCTTACTAATAACCACAATTTTTTGATTGATTTATGGATTTGGAAAGGTTAATTAATCAGGTGTGCGTAAACTTGAGTTCATTAATTGATATCGGAACAGATCCAGTATAGGTCAGAATACTGATTAGTGAATAACAGCAGGCACCGCAATCTCAAGTTCAATTCGTTGTCTGCGTTGACAAGTAGAATTTAGTCGCGGGAATTCTATCGCATCGTGGCAGTTAATTCAATCAGCACAACGTTAGCTCTAATCCAATTTTTTTTCTTTATCTGGCCATCCCTCACAGTCTGGTGATTCGAGACGCGAGCTGCCAAAGTGTGTCAACCAAAGTGGGATTAATTGCGCCGAGTTACGTGAAGCTCCATTAATGCATGAAGAGGGGACGAATTTTAATCCCACACCAGTCAACCTAACCGAATTAATGCATATTTTACATGCCTCGAGGAATAAGCACTGAGGTGGGAGATTTTAGCCAAGTTGAGCCGATCCCTCTCGTGAAAATTTCCATCTCAAATGAGCCTGCCTTGGCTGCAAAAATGCGCTGATGATATGGGGCAGCCAAATCAAGTTTGACAGGGCACACTGTCTTTGGCTTAATTAAGGCAGGTTGACAAAAAAAGCTAGACCTTACGCTGTTTGTGGGAGGTTTCTCTTGGTAGTAGCCATACCAACGATTTCGCAAGCCTTGTCATCGTAGTTCATGAAAATGAAAGCAAGTATTTGCGACCTACATGTTCAAATTGGCCCAAAGCATGAGTCGTACAGAAAGGGATATTTAAACCCTCGAGAATTCTGATTCGCTGACCACCATCCATGATTACACTCGTTTGCAAAATCGTGCATACTTTTTAAGTACCACTGCTACATACCGGTTCGGCAATATTGATGAAACAAACTGCGCCAATAGCTCAAACCACCTCCCTCCACTACAATTTGAGTCAACTGGAAGTCAAGTTAAATGCACAAAAAAGTAATTTAAGGTAGAAGATTAAGCTTCCCCGTTGGACAGGCACGTTGATCGATCCGCATACCGTTCCGGGGAGCTGGCAACTTCCCCTTCACAGTTGTAGGGTATCGAATTTCTACGAAACTGTATCGTGGTGTGAGGAAGTCAATATTTTTTATCGTTCGCACAGCTCTCCCAAGCACGCCACTTCATTCCGTCAAACAATCTGCCTTAATCTCAATTGACCTATCTGGTCAAGGTCACTCGGTCATTGGCCAAATTGCACTCGAGGCTTGTGTCTACTTACCGTCAATCATAACATGGTAGCATCAAGCAAGGAGCCTGAAGAGGTGTATCGAGATTGTGAAAACAGTGAATTACAGTTAAATTGTTGTAAATTTTAGCCTCCCTAAGAGTACGTCATTTAGGCTTATGGCGAATTTCCATTTTTTATTGTCACTCATATTATGCACACCAACATTGGTTTTCAAATCAGCCGCCCTCTTCCTATTGGCCTATTCAACTTCCTTTTTGTACTCAAGGCCACAGGGGTGCATCTGAATGAGACAGTATGGGATCTCTGCACGAGTTCTTGTCCTGTCTCAGATTATGGAGGCGCTGACTCATACGGGCTAACAAGGCGGATCGATTATTTACGCTCATAATTTCGCATCTGTGTACCAGAAAAATAGAAAAAAAAGAGCGCTACAACTTAACCAAATGAAATCAAATCGGTCATATCAGTTTGATGCCTCAAACACTTGTGTGGATGTATTTAAGCAACGTCAAATTTGGGTTGTTTGGAATCAAACGAGAAAATGTTGGATTCTGCAACGAAGGCCATATGGCACCAACCTGATTTCTATGCGCACACTCTAATCCCCATGACACAAAATCGATTTTTAAGTCGTGACTCACCATAGACAAGCACTCGAGAGGAGACCTCGTGAATGTTGGAGTCGGGATGGCTGGATTTGCACGTCCACACGCCGGAGTCCTTGTCTTCAACCAGACGCACAACGAGGTAGCAGACTGAGATACCGGCTTCCTGGTCTTCTTGGCTCATGTAGATCTTGTACCGCGGATCAGAAGTCTTGCTGGAGATGCTCATGGAGTGCAGCAGGCAGCCACCAATCAGCTTCTAGATGGAAAATGCATTTGTTTTCGGTATTAAAAATCCAGGCACGTCAGTCTGTGCTCGTGATCGATTTCCACGCCAACAAATTCCAGGGCCGCTGATGAGCAACGCTCAAGCATGGGATTATCGATTTTCGTTCAACATGTCGCCAGCTTAACTCGCAGGATTGTAATTTAGTGCAAACGACGGTAAAGTTATAGTTTGGCCAGTGGTTATTACACAGATACATACGCTTTGAATTGGTCATCTCTCAATTCCTACGATCAACAAATTCGCTGTTGAATGTCCAAGAAAGGATCGATCTAATTTAAAACACTAGTCCCTTTTTAAACCCTGACATCAATAGTTTTGAACCCTGTCCTGAGAAGTATGTCGATATACTCAGAAGTTCAACTTCTTGCAAAGATGTCAAAGGATTTGGATGATTCCTCCAAGTCGGATTTCCACCAGTTTTGTGTGTTTATGCAAACTCAAGGCTAGACGTGTTTACTTTCCACAATTTACGTGGGTGTGTAATGCCATAAACCATCTATATAGGATTAATCAACTTACGTGTACTCACATTATTGACATACCAGTTGATGAAATCGGGTTTAATCGATGGCTGACAAGCCTGATAGACGGTTGCTCCCAGATCCACCGACAAGTTCTGTGGAACCACTCGAAACGGAGCTACAACACACACGAGGTTGTTTAGAGTGAGTTCAGTTTTGAATATTAATCCATATTGAGAAATCATAAGACATTGGTTTGGATCTAGACCTCATCATTTTGAAAAAAACTTTTGTTAATATTAACGAGGTAAGAAGCATTACAAATCAAGTATGCTCCTTCACTAAATAACAGTGTAGTGTTTGTCCAGGTAGGGTAAAAATTGTTGATCTTAATAAGTAAGGTAATGCACTTCAAATCTGATTGGTTGACAGTTTTACGCGTTAAAAGGTATGCGCCAATAACCTTCATACCATCACGAACTGCCAAAGGCCTCCAGCGCTGTTTGGGCAAAATCAATCGACGATAGCATTTTCAATAAAATCAAGGTTTAAGTACCAATGGAAATTTCGAGAATACACTGATTGTCACATGTTTCACGGGGAGTATGAAACTGACCAATCGTACGCTTCGATTGGTAGTGTTGGTTGTGTGCATTAACAAACACAAGATCGTCTTTTAAAACACTGGGTGTTCTGCTCTGGGAAAGCAGCCGGTGTCTTACTCCATTTAGGGAAAATGTCAAATTATAAACAAAGCGTTAACAAGTTTACCCAAACCGGCCTGAATTCCAGAAACGAGAAGAGTGAAGATTGTTGCACACGCCAGTGTCATAGTTGGGGCGAAATGACACTCGACTGATGAGGATTTGGACCCCACAATCGCGTCAACATACTCCATGGTAACGCTTAATTTCGCCTACACAAACGAACGAATCTGCATTGCAAATGCAATTTCCCATACACACTATTCGAGTTGATCGGATCTGACTGCACAACTGCTAAGATAAACTTTCAAGCTCCAATTATTAGGTTCAAGTCAAAACCCTGAAAAGTGCATCTGCAGAATCAGGCCGCAGGAGGTGTTGCTTAGTTTCGAGATCGTCTCCATGAGACTTGAAGGCTCGAAAATCCCATGAATCTGATTGGTTGGGAGTTGTCAGGATGGACAAATATAGTTTGACACGGGCTACACCTGTTTCACTAAGTATCCGACACTTTCTATTCATGCAGAGCCACTAACAAGAGATCAAATCGATCGGTTGTCATGGTAACACCATGTTTGGCGTGAAGGAATAAGGGTTAGTGATCGTACGACGCGACGCCGAAAGCTGAATATTGAAACGCTCTTAAAATGTCAGTAGCCAGGTATCCCCTAGTTTCTAACCTTGATCAGCCACGATCAGCGAATCGAAAGTGGTTCAATAAACGCGTTGCAACCCAAACCACACCTTGTGACCGATTTCTTCACCCCACTAGATGCACAATCACACACACACACACTCCCCTCGGATCAATGACAACCGCTACTCAATAATCTCTTATTCAATAACTGTGCTTTTGAAAGAAAAAAGAAACACCAATCGCTCAGGGAACCACGCAGAGGATATTATGCAAGAGAGGAGGACGATGTGATTCACGGGAAGGGGCCTCAGAGCGTCGGCATGGGGCAGTCGACAGGCGTGGATTCGGGGAAGAGCTGCATGAGCACAAACATGACCAGATCGGCGTTGGACCAGTAGCCAGTGTGGACAGTCAGTGCGGACAGGTAGGCGTTCTCATAGCGACTCTCCTTCAGCTGGTAGTCCATTCGGTAGTGGAGTGGCACCGGCGAGTCCAACTCGGTGGGCGGGGGCGAGGTGGAGTTGGCTCTGGTGCTGACGTCGTCTTCGCTGGGATGCGACGACGCCGGCAGCTCGAAGGTCACTTGCTCCTCCTCCGCTTCCAGACACGACGAGGCTTCGGGGTCAGTGGGTGTTGGCGACGTGGGCGAGGAGGACTTCTGCCGCTTCGGCGACACCGGCGGCGGGGGTGAGGCAGCGGGTTCCGCCTCTGTTGAACTCTTGAAGAAGCCCAACATGAAGGCTGAAAATGGAGAACGAGCCTCGTGGTCACCTTAGCCTCATTGTAGTTTACGAAACCAAAAAAAATACAAAACAGCTCACACGACAGTGGCAGACGTCGACTAAACCGACTGCCAATGTAGGTCAGGGATTCCATCGACGAACTGCTGATATCGTTGGTGAGAGAACCATTATGCAGAGCCTCGTCAATGTAGGAAATCTGTTGGAAAGAGGACGGAAAACTGTTGGCTGGTGGTTCAGTACATTTAAAAGCGACCATTTCAACCTGCCATCCAGGGGAATTCCACGATGGAAGGTGTGGGTTAGCAAGGGGAAATTGGAAGCAAAATTGCAACATTACCATCCTCGAAATTTGTTATTTATAAACAGGTTAAAGAAAGAAAACGAAGCAGCAGAAACAGGAGTGTTAGATACTGCTAATAATCTCTTGACCCGATAATGAGGCGATATATAGACACCGTAAATAGGAAAAGAAGCCTCGAAGCTTACAACCTTGCACCAAATTCCACCCGGTTTGAAGAGATGGCAATGTGGAACATGAACTAGACCCTTATTCACGAATATCGGCCCGCGTTGACGTCTAAACCCTAGAGATCAGGCCGAGGTTCGCAAGTTTCGGAAATGACGAAAGCAGTGGACATTGGACACGACTGAGAACAACGTGACTTCTGCGACATGACGAGAAGTTGAAACGAAACAGAAAAGAGGAAAAAGAAACCACGCACGCACCCCTGCCGGTAAGGAGTGTTGAGAGATGAGCTGCTGGTTGGACGTGGAATTGGCGTGGACAAGGTCGTAAGGCACCTTGGAGGGGTCGGTGCAACGGTAAATCTCCACGGGCGGAATCGTCGAGTAGCGCTTCATGAGCAGTGGCTCCAGTCGGTACGCCTGAAACGAACCAGATCGCGGTCATGAGCAGAAGAGGGCACTTTGACACCCCATGGACACACACCCTCCTTCCCTTGATTGACAAGTCCAAAGTGCTGTCTAGGGGCTAACTAGGCTAGGTGTCGTTTCGACTTGTAAGAGGAGATTTGGCGCGGAGTTACGTGTGTCACTCTGAGACTGTGGGCAATAGGTCCACGTAATCTGCTTCAAATTGGGCTAGCGTCGCAAAGAGAGAGGCGCTACCAACTTACCACGGGATCGGCAGGGTGAAAGACGTTGTAGATGTGGGGACACTTGGACCGCGGCATCACCGCGTCCGGACAGCCCGTCTGGCCGGGACGAATGCCGCGCAGCGTCAGGTACACCGCCAGTGGCGAGCCCATGCAAAACAGGTTTTGCAGCTGCAAAATGGAGAAGCAGGGGATAGCAAGAGCTGCCTTGTGATTGGCCAGATTTTGAGATCTCTCGACTACGGTGGTTACATTGATGGAGATTGAGTTGAGTGATGAAGATCGTGTTTGGAAGGGAGGGAGGGGGGGTTCAGGAGAGACGAGGCATTTTACAACCAAGAGACTCTTAGCATCGTCTTGAAGACACGTTTTACGAACTCTAACCCCAAACACGGAACCCAGATTCCTGCTCGGGACTCCTCAATGCTTGTCTAACAGGAGAGTCTGAGACAGATCGAAGTGGAATTTGCCTCAAATACCAGTCTGATGCGATTTCACCAGACAGACCTCGGTTTCTGAGAAAAATGATGCTAAGGTTTAACACACACGTCTGTGTTCGGGTCCCACCGCTGTTTCTACTGTTGTGGGCCCCGGCATGTGGTCTTGAACCATGCCGGGGCCACGGAATTAACCCTGGCCCGATTACGCTTCTCTGATGCCCACGATGCAGAAAAGGACCAGAGAAGACGTGGGCACAACCGTTTACTTCAGAGCTCAACCACGTTGGTGTCGTGTGTGGTGTTTGCGCGTGTGCATTTATAGCTCGGATGTGTGAGTCATACATGCGCTAACATCGAGATCCAGGTGTGGGGACATTCCAAGACAAATATTCGTGCTAATGAAGGGGGAGTTGAGGATTCGAGGGGCTGGCGACATGCTGCGACAAGAGGAACCCTGTGTAGGAGGTGGAGCGACCGGATTAGGGGGTTGAATAAACAGGATTCACGACAGCTATTTATTTCGATTGAGTTACCTCACCCTTTCCCCCTCTCAATTTGCCACACCCCTGAAGCGCACAAGGGGGCGCTGGAAGACAACCAGGGAACACCGAGTTCTGCGGGGTTACTTCCACCAACTTACTCGAGAGGCGAAAACCAGCGAATGGGGGTCTGTCGGCGATCTGCGAGAGCCTTCGTTGAGCTGCTGACGCTCCAACTGCGTCTCGAGGCATTTCACACTACGACAGGGAAAAAAAGTGTCGTTATTGGCCGGGCAGTTAGACCCCCTATGCCGATATCAAGTACAGTTGCGTGGACACGTCACTATCCACAAACCTCGGCCGGTAGCAAGTGTCTCTACAGGTTGATGACTCAGCTAAAAAACGACTCTCAGTAGATATCTGCCACCCATGCGCATGGAAAGTTAAAATTAGAGTTGGATAGAGAACACATACACTTCTTTGGCTGCCTCCAGTTTGGCCAGAAGGACAGAGGACTCGGACAGGCTGTTGTCGGTCCCGTTGGACTGCAAATCGCCATCAACTAGAAGGCAATGCAAAGAGAGAAAGAGGGGTAACCGACAATAACAACAACAACAACAGCGGTCATTATGCGAACAATTATGCCACCGAGGTCAGTGACAACACACACACACACATTGGACACGCCCACCGCTCTCCTCCTAAAATGGCAGTCGCGTGGCCAAGCAAAGACCAGACAAGGCGTGAGGAGTGGTACCGTGACCAGACGAGAGGTTGTAGTGACTTGTGGTCGAAGCACTACCTCACAACCCTCTAGTTAACAGCCCGTAACAACCCCAGAATGGGGTGGAGAGAGGCGACAGAGGACACGACCGCCAAGTGTGTCTTGGCGTGTGGAAAAGTGAGCAGATAGCAGTAACCAATGAAAAAGGGGATGAGTCATTGTCACCATCAGGTCAGTAGCCAGGGTTCACTCAGGCGCTACAGGGTAATGCCACCCGCACTCCTCCACCCCCCACCACCCTGTAGGGGTGTTTTAAACCTGCAATGAGTAACTCCGAGATCCTACAGCAGTTCATAGGCTGGTTAGACAGGCATTCGAGCAGGGAGGAATCTGATTGGCTGAGCTTGACAGTGCACGCAGGCGATTGGTCAATTGCAGGTCCGGGTGGCAACCTACCCGTGTGGACGTCGGTTTGCTTGTCCACGTGGAGAGACGGCTGGAGGTGTTGAGGCACAGGCTCAATCCAACCGGTGATGAGGTCATACGAAATGACACTGCCCAGAGAGTGCGCCAGGATGGACACTTTGCCGCCGTTGGCCTCGAAGTAGGGATGGCGCTCGCAGAAGAGGCAGTAGAGGCGATTCAGCTCGACAAGGAGGCTCTGGTTAATCTCGTAGCGGTACAGTGGACTGGTGTAGTACATTATGTCCATGAAGGTGCAATTCAGGAATGTGCGAAGGCGTGCTAGGTTGCCAAGGGTGATGGAATCGACGACGTCGCCGTCTAGACGAAGGGAGTTGCGCCATTCAACCGGCAGGAATTCAACACGATGCTCAGAGGCGCTGATGTCGGGGAAGTAGGAGTCGATCAATTTTCTCGCCGTTTCACGAATGCTGTGTTATAAAAAACGTGCTACTTATAGTTTGCAAGTAGGAAATTATATCTCCACGGACACATTTCATTGGTTAGTTTTACAATGCACTTCAATTGAACAAAACATGTAAAATTAGACAGCCACAGGCACAGACCACAATCCCACGATTTACTACACTATTGGAAGGATTCTCTACGTGGTGAAATGGGGAGGACGTACCCATCACAGGCTGTTATAATTGATCCCTTGAGGTACTTTTGGCCCATGCCATGAACCACAAAACAGAGGTGCGAGAAGACCGGGGGCACAGCGCTGAGGTCCGCTTCCTCGTAGTAGCCGCGACCAAGGCGGGTGCCAACTAAAGCAGACAAAGGAACGAACACCGTTTCTGTAGTGTCAATACGAATGGACCACATACTATATAAAATGCCTACATAAATATAAATAAGTAGCAGTTATTAATAGGAGCGTTGTTGATTGAGGGGGCTCCGACGAATCAGCCAATCAAAAATCGGAACTCACCCTTCTGCATGCCCAACTTCTGGCGAATGTAGAAGCTAGCCGTCTCCGCGTAGAGGTAGACCTCGTCCAAGGAGAGCCAGTCCACATGGCAGTCCGCAAATTTCAAGGTGTGCACAGCTGGCAGTGTGGAAAGAAGAAGTTCTGTGACGAGGCGACGTATTTGGTGGATGACATAATTCTATTGCTTATATTTAAAATAGAACAGATTTTCACGGCCTCGTGTGGTTTTGAAACGATCAGACAACACCGAACGACAAGTCCACGTGGGTTACACGACCTCTCTCAATAGCAGAGTTTACGATGGCAAGTGATAAACAGTATATGTTCTTGGTGCCGACGTTGTGTCTTACAAGCGTATTAGAAGTGGTGATCACGATCTTAGCGACCAGCCGCGCCTCGGCCAGCAGCCTGGAAAGTTTGGAGATGTAAAGCTGCAAGCTGAAGACTCGACGCACAGCCAATAAAAGGTGGCAGCTTACTTAGGCGTCACCCAATCAGCTATTTCCATATGTGCTGACCTTGGACAACGTCTGAACACATGCATTGCCCGGCGGCAACACGCAGTGAATGGACTTCTTTTGTGGAAAACTGCGACGGGTGATGAAAAGTCGATTTTTTGAAATGAGAAACCCTAACGCAGAAGCGTGTCGTGAGTAGATCCCGAGCAATCCACTACATCAACGCCGATACAGGTCATCCACTTGAAGAAGCCATCTGCATTCGTGTATCTGGCGGAATATGATGGGTGTACATGACTACGAACTCCTGGAAACTGGTCGTCAGAACGTGACTGCTCAACTCCACAGCCGAGAATTGAACAAACTGAGCGAAGAGGCCAGGGATCAGAAAAGGCCATTTACTGGGCAAGTCATACTGCTGCTGCAGCTATATAACAACGTTCGACCACCCCATGTTGCTCTTTCGACTCACTAGACCCTCTTGAACTTGGGATGGAAGGTTCTGCCACCGGACTTGGCCATCCTTCCGACTACCATGTGTTCCGGCCAATGCAGCAGCAGCAAGCCTTAGTGGATAAACAGTTCAAGACGCCGGACGATGTGGATGAACTCGTCGACGACTCGATTTCTTTGAAACCAGAAAAAAATCATTCGCGACGGCGTTCATGCGGTACCTGGCGCAAGGTCATAGAAAGTGATGAACTGAAACCTCCAAGATTAAATTCGTTGTTTTCTACTTTTTTTACAATGAAAAATCCGTACAAACCAATGGGCCTGAGTCAAAACTGACGCACGTCTAGACGCCTTGGTAGTCCACCGCCTCCCCCTGATAAACCCCGTAATTGCCTCGTTCTTCCGTTTTAGCGTCTCTATTGGCTATGCACGTGCCCCCACGCATGTCTGTGTCTTATGAAATCTGTAAGCATTGATAAAAACAGTTACGAAGTGGCGATTTCGATCGTGGGGGTCAGAAGTGCCACAGACAGGCTCGAAAATTCGGAGACGAAGGATAGCAAGCTCTCCTGGATGAAGACTCAATACAATCGCGACACGAGCTTGCAACAACTTAGTTAGGAGGCACCCAAACAGCTATTTCCGAGCGTCTGCACCAAAAGCCGAAAGTTCATAAACCTAGAAGTTGGGCCCCACATGTGCTTGCCGAAGAACTTGATCAGAAAGGGCAATTTTGTGGACAAGGAAGGAGGCAAGTCATTCTGCCGATGCGGCATGACAACGCTCGACCACCTCTCACGTTGCCCGCGCCACTCAGAACACCCCCTTGACCTTCGGACGAGGAGTTCACCCACACGCGACATATTCACCAGACCTGGACCCATCCGGATGATTTGCGTGAATTCGTCGATGGTGCCTTTACCGCCTCGCGACGGCAATCGTATGTTACCTTGGAGATGACGCAATGTCGTAGAAGACGATGGACAATATTTCCAATACCAAGTTCGAAGCTTCCCATTTTGTATAATTAAACAAATTTACTGAAAAAAATCAGCACCACTTTCGTGAATTAGCTCCAAACCAAGAGAAACCAAATGTGAGCGTGATTGGTCAAGCAAAGTGACAACGCACACACGACTTGCGTCATCAGGCGACAGCTGATTTCTGCTGCATTAACCACACAAAACCTAAGCGTCAGAAGAACGAACAAAGGGCTGCTCAGGTTGGTGTGTAGGTGATTAATTAAAACAGAAGCAGGTGACCTTGACACTAAAACGTTTGATGCGCACGTCCGCGGAAGAAAGTTGGCGGTTGGTGCTTTAACAAATAAATGGAGACCTAAGGAGAAGGAGGAGGACAAAAAACACGAAAATTGGGTTTAATTCAAAACGAAGACAACAAAATTAATGTAGTAGGAGAGTGTTTGAGTGTCAGCTGATTTGTTTTGTCAAAAACGCAAAACACTCTACCAAGCAACAAGGCGTGACAACTGGTCACGGGGAGGCGACCTTGAATGGAAAAAGGCAGATTACTCGGCGTACCAGAGGGTGCAATGCGAGCTGAAGAATTTGAGGAAGCAAAGAACACGAGTAGGCGAGATGCGGGAGTCGAAAGAGCGCAAGAAACAGGCCAAATGACAGGTGAACAAGACTAAATGATTTACACGGAGCTCACAACACACACACACACACCAAGGCTACGCAGATAGGGTCGTTTGGAGCAACCACCAGCCTAGAGTGTTGCACAATCGAGAGGTGCAATGGTGTGAAATGTGCCACTTGAAGCAAGGGGGGAAGAAACGTCATTCATGGAGCAGCGATTGCATAGATCTTGTGCATACCACTTAACAAGTTAATGAAATAAAGATTTGACACATAAACCGCCCCAATTAACATTGCCATAAATCGGAACAAGCAGCTTTTGAGGGCGCACTGATCATAAACCGACTTCAAAATTTCACTACAACGGTACGCAGTACTATGGAAGACTACAGTATGTAGTAAAGAGAAAGTCGACTGGAAAACTTTCCAGGCGTTGAAAACGTGGAAAATTGGGCTGGTGGAGGCGATAAAGACCAGTTGCTTATTGTAATGTTCTTGAAATTGTTGTGTGATACTCAGGGCAATTTCACTCTAGGCCTACTTAAAACACATTACACGCACTGCATATTTACAAACATCACGTGCTTTATAATCACAAGACTAGTAAACTCAATCGTAATGCGTATAATTCGGCTGATATACCGAAAAATTCCAATAATAAGGACAATAATAGGGACATAGGATAGCCACAGAAAAGGGAAAAAATAAGACTTTAAGGAAATATGAATTAACAGCCAGAGTAAAAGGACATGAAAGGGTAAAATACGCTAAAAAGATCCAAACTGGAGAAATCTGGATGCAAGCACCAGATGCGCACTTTCCGTGGAAATAAATTCAAATATGCAATGAAAGAAAGCTCAATCGACTGAGGCGACGGACGTTAAGAGTAAGGTTAAATAAACATTGTTTTATTATTTGCCTTTTAAATGAAGCACTCACGCGGAGATTTTGGTTGAGCTGAGAAGATGGAGGTATGCCTAGATGCCACTTCTGCATCACCATCAGCGTCGCTTTCAACTTCAGGTAAATTATTACCAGATGCAGGTGCGTCAGACACCGCCAAACGCCTCATAAGAGAAATATGCGTCATTTCAAGTTGTTCTGCAATCGATTCGTCGTCAATAGGAACACATTGTGGTCCACCAGGATCTTTGAACCAAGTTCCTCGCAATATCTCGGTTGATCCGGCCGGTGCTGGTAAAAAAAACTATAACTTGATTCAAGGTACTTTCATAGAGCAAAAAATCTAACCCGCTAAACACACCTTCCCAATACACGGGAAAACATTGCCTTAGGAGGATGTTCACCTCGTAAAGACCTTCCCGAACAAGAAGAGGTTTACTTTGTTGAGATGAAGTTCTTGACTTTCTGTCAGAATATGCAGCAGACTTCAACGTGATTGAACGCAAATAATGTATTTCAATATTGATTGAATCGTAGCCACAGAATGGAATCCATTTTTTCGACGTTCCATCCTTGTAAAACCAACGAACTTTGGTGGGCGGTAGGGATAGCTGATCGCCTGATTTCATTTCACCCAGACTATCGACAGATAAGCGATAGTCAGCTTGATTTTGTGTCGCCAAATTAACATCATCATTACAAACTGACAGAACAGGTGAACTGAACATGGGAATAAATGTCAAAATCAAAGCGTGACATAGCTACCTATATACAACACAACTGACCAATCCTGGCAAACCCTTGACGAAACAAATTGACCGTTTAGCCTTGGCAATCATACAAACATAGAGTAAAAGGCAACAATTTCCAAATTAAAAAAAAAACATTTACGTTTCTGATGCATATATTAGTTAAAAAACCACACGATTTTACTGTTGCTTTGCTCCCGTGAACACTAAAATGTTGATAAACTAGCATTTAAAATGGATTGTTGCAACCATCAGATTATTGATTAGTATTTCATTTCTATCTCAAACCTAAGTGAGCAATCCTACTTTTTGCAGAAAGCATATCAAAACATTTTATAAGAACGATTAAAGACAAAAAGTCAACATCTGCATAGATAACTGTGAAATAAATAATTTCTAAGGCTTCACAACCTTATCCTGCAACGAAAATAGATCACGTTGAATAAATCAGTTAAACACAAAGGTAAATTTGTGATTATCTAAATAATTTTACCTTCTTATGCAATATCTAACAAAAACATGGATTTTCACTAATCTGTTACCTTTTTGACTATTACTGATAAAAAATCTACTCCCGCCAAACCTGTTCTTACGACTCCAAACACCCATCCTGTCTGCAAGCTACATATTTTACTTATCAAAATCTCATGGAGTCAAAATAACAAAGCATTACGGCTTTTCGGTTTAGATTTTAATGTTTTTTAGGCACTCTAACGAATGTGTGAAGAAACTGGCGTAGTGGACTAGCAACTATTACCTGTATAAGTAATTTTTTTATCAAACGGTACCATAGAGAACTAGTTCTGCATATTTATGTCACTTTGTAATATATCTTATATATGCGTATCCTTGTGGTTTTAGAAATAGTTTTTGTTTAAGCCCCTCGACGTTGTAAATGACGTTTAGTGGGCGTTCATTTGAATGCGTCACCTTTGATTCAACGTATTGTTCTGATTGGGTAACTTAGGCATCATATATCTGATTGATATTTGACTGAACATAAACCATACCTATTTGTTTCTTTTGCTCTTTCTTCTCTTTTGTGGTAATGAACGATCTCAAACCTGCCGCTTTTTTTTCAATTGTGCTGTGCTTCTCTTCTCGCGATTACTGTGTCTCGTTTGTTAATGACAGAAATAAATCATTAAAAGTTGAAGTTCGTGACCTGAAATCTGACGAAGAGTGGCACGGCTGTTTCTCCTCTGATTGTGAGCCTTTTTTCTAATTATTTCCCGCTTTTAGATATTGAAGAACTTACGAGGAAAACCGGTAATTACAAGAGTTATGGGATTTTTGTTACGATGCTCTATGCTGTTTCCTTTAATGTAATGTTGTCTTCATTATGTAAATTTCGTTCACTTATAGAAATCGAAGTCCCTCATTCTTGATCTTGTTGATTACGAGGATCTTGAAAACTTCCGAAAATCCAATATGATTAATGAGAAACCTCTGGTTTTGCAACCTGATCGTCAGAGACGACCACAGCGTCGTTACCTTATATTGACCTATATATCCGACTTTGATAAAACATTTTATCCATTGCCTCTCACGTATGTGGGCGTTGTTGATAGAGCAAAGCTAATTAAGCAAATTAGCAAGTTACGGGACGCGCTCTATAACGAACGGTTCGAAGGGGGAATACGTGGTGAAAAGGACACAGTCTGCAGTGTGAATCGCCTAAAAATGGAGTACGAAAACAAGTAAAGCGTCATTTTGCTCACTTATAGGTATTTGAAGGATCAGGAAATTGGAGATCGAGAGAGACGGTGCGGTTGCCGAGTTGGACCGGCTGAAATCGATTGTACGCATCCTCCATGAGAAAAAAATTCATAGCGGTGTCGATGGTCAATATTTACACATGTACTCTCCAAACTTAAGTGAACCCTGTCCAGTCTCAAAGCATATGTTTCCCTGCCCTAGTGGCTTGTTGCACAACCGACGTTCATCATCTCTCGCATCTACCCCAGAGCATAATGGTAGTTCATTCACTCAAAAGCTAGGGTAAGCCCAATTTCAGTTGTCGTGAATTTTTTATTATTTTAGAATAATTTTTACTCGTAGTTACGACAACCTTGCTTTTTCATGGCTAATATCTATTACTAGCAAGTACATGCAATAATTTGAGTGGAAAGAAACGCTTGCTTTAAGTCTAAACTAGCACAGTTTTATCAGAATGCCCCAAACTACTTTTGAAGTCACCACATCTGCTATTTTTTTAATGGCGAGGCTTCGAGTATCATTCTGTTGCTATCACTACAGAAAACTGTTCTTGGTCAAGCTCATTCTATAAATGGGACGTGTATTTAGTGCGTCCAAACTAAGAAGTCGCTCGGCCAGCACAGACAGCTCGAGTTACCTGGGCGGCATATCGAAGAAATCGCAACGCGCTGTGTCTCCGTCCCGATCACGAAATCGATACTCACGGGACTCCGTTCGATCGCTGCCTGTCTCAGGACCTCGTTCACACAAGGATAGCAATAAGTTTGTTACGCCACCTTCACCCAAACGAAGAAGTCGAGCGCGTTCCGCCAACTCCGTTGGTTCTAGTGCGTGTGTTTTTAGCCCGTTTTGGTTTGCAAAGTATTTAAAAATGAGTTCAATTTTTCTAAAGCCCTATGCTACTATGCAGTCCACAGTGCCATTTACAGCTCAGTCCATCTTTTTGCTACAGAGAATCGTTTTGACCCGACAGCGTTCGTGCAAAAGCAACGTCAGAAACGTCAGGAGGCAAAACAGAAGAAGTAAGTTGTACCGAAAGCCGTGAATTGCCTAGCCACGGCACCATTTTTGGCTGATCCTTGTTGAACCTTCGTAATTTCTACTAGAAAACCCGACGAGGTCTCGCGTCTTCGTCGGAAGTCGTCGTCACCATCTTTGGTTGTCATCTCAAAGTGCATCGAACCGTGCCGCGACGAGACTCGCCGAGTTCGTGACACTTCAAACGACTTTGTGCGCGATCTGCGTTCGCACCGACTGTCACCTCTGTCAAACCGGTTTCTAGACGCGCCAGACTTCCTGCTGTCCGATGTTGAGGACAGGTATCGCGCGTCCAGCTACGGCGTCCGCCAGCGAACCCCTCCACACGGCATCGATGACTTTAATTTAAGCGAGTGTGATTCACAGTCTAGTTGTTCTTCGCTAAGACAACCAAACGACTATCGTTGGTCCAAAAGTCGAGGCAAGCAAATCAGGTATGCCCAGGCTTTTAACCAGATCTATGTTGGTCGATTCCTCGGCTTTGTTTATACCTTTTTCTTTGCTAGGGAGGACAACTGTTGTTCGGACCAGATGAATCGATGTAAGTCAATTCCACTCAGTTCCTCTTTGTTCATATTGTCACCATGATATTACTTCGGACTGCGCTGACTCACAGCTAGGCCCTACGCGGCATAGTTCTTGGGAAATCGTCACCCTGAAAGGCTGAATCTCCAACCATGGAGTAGACATGCTAAAAACTCTCAGACATTTAGTACTCACAAGTGTTGAATTCCTTATCCGGTGCCCTCGAAGGCATGCACTCTGGAAGTTCACTGCTTCAGGGAGTTGTTGGCTTGTTTTAGCCAAAAGTTCCTCGTCTTGTCGCGATTCCGTCCTCGACTGTGAACTCGGTGAAATGCATCGACGCCTCGACAAGTTGCAGGGTTTCTTCAAGAGCTACTTCACATAACGAATGCGGCGCCCTCTGATCCGCATGTTCGTAAATTGCCTACTTAACTTTTTTTGCCAATGCCGTTGTGACACCTTTGCATTAAATCTACTCGAATGGGATTGACCAAAGTTTGTGGCCTACTCTTCTCCACTTAAGCAGTAATAACGGGGTGAAATCATAATAAACGGTGGGCCTAGATTCAACCAATCCTCGTGCAGAGCTAGGACTTAATCATGGAAGAAATGAGTTTTACACAAGAAAGGGACCTATTTGACTTGAGCGGCTCAAACTGAGAAGCCTTGTATCGAAACTGGTAGTCTAATTTAAACAGATCTGCCCGCAGTTGAGCTACTTGAGGATTAATGTGTTTTCGGGTGTCTAAGAACTTACCCACGTTATTGGTTGATCAGGGTCGGTGTGTGTGCTGATGAAAAGCGCACTTTTAATTACATATGTTTCACATAGGCTAGTGCACCGCAAGTGAGATGTGACTGAGAACGGCGAAACACGCATAATTTTACACCGTATTCGAGGTTCATGCAGGTTCAATCGGTCTAGCCAATTGCCCATACAAGGGAAACAGGCACTGCAGGAAGAAATGCCGTAACTACTCAATCAGAGGTTTTATTAAAAGACAAATATAGAATATAGGTTGAAAGACAATGTTCGCCCGGAAATGCGCATTCTGGCGTCGCGACCTCCCCCCAGGGCACTGACAGTCCTATTCACCAGACCACCTGGCAATCAGCCTGTCGCCGTTGATGATGCCGAAGAAGCCGAGTTCGCGCGTGTCCGAGTCCAGTGGGATCTCGATCTCGTCGACGCCTGGTCTGGCGCCGGACGTGAAGAGGTCGATAGTGGCCGTCATAGGGATGCGGAAGAGCCGACGCGCCAGGGTGCGCAAGTGATTGACCGTCATTCGTGCTGGAATGCGCTTCACAATCTCATTTGGGCCGGATACTGGAACTGGTTCGCAGAACATTGTCAATTCAAGGAGGCCTTCTTTCAACGCGCGGATAACGCTCTAAAGAAGAAAGCGACAATCGACACTTCGTCGGCACAACACGAATGTTACAAGATGGAGTTGTACCAACCTTGGTTTCACCAGATTCTGGAGCGCCGTGCTTATCACAGAGTAATTTGAACGAGGGAAATTGTTTCTCAAACGCTGCCTTGGACTCCTCGCCAGACTTCTCCGCGATGGCCCAGGCTTTTCCGTATCGCTTCAAGAAATCCAATTCAGCACCTCGACGTTCATCCCGTTCAACTTCTTGCCTGTTCAACATTTGCACTTTCGGTACACGGGCAATCAACTCCTGTCTTGCAGTCTCCCTACAAATTGGGATACAGCAGGTTATGACATCAACTAAGCAAAGGAAACTAACGGAAACAAGTGATAAACCTACGGAGTAGTACTGCTTAAAATTGGATTTTGAGAAATGATGAGATTTTCGAGGGAGGGAAGACGTGCGAGAGCATTTATAGACCCCCAGTCATTGATGAGGTTATCACGGAGGGTTAATTGAGTTAGAGCAGGTAGTACAATTTCATTTTCAGGTATACGCATTTCATGAATCCGGTTAGCGTTGAGGACAAGGCTGGTTAGGCTAGCCGAGGGACCTAGCACGTCCAAAATTCGCTTGAAACACGTTTGACCAGTCCCGGTTAAATCAACCTCCGTGAGTTTTCGCAGTAACGCTGTGAGACGACTCCCGAGTTGTGTTTCAGGGTCCGGTAAATCTCCTAGCTACAAAGGATTATGAAAAGTCGATGTTTTGGAGTGTACGTGGGTACTTTCAAAGGAGCCAAGGGTGCTTACCTCATTATAGGCGACGCAAACTTCCTGAAGAGCAGGCATCCAACCTAGGATGCGCGTTATCTCTTGCCAGCCAAACGGTATTCCGCCGACCTTTTCAGCAGGCATCTGAACGGCAACAAAACGAGTCAGGGCTGGGAAAGCTGAAAGACAAAGGAGCTCCGCCTCATTTACACCTTCATCGATGTCTAATCGAAGGCGGCGTTCTGTCTCAGAGAGGTCACAGAGTTCTTTTTCTGTGGCTCGAGGCAACCGAAGGCGGTTAGAGCCCACATTCAACTTGGAAAGCAAAGGCAGCTGATGACAGATCTAAGTTGAAATAAAAGTTAATAAATTGCACCCAAAATTGGAACACTGAACGCGAAAACTAACACCACTTACCCGTGCGACTTCGGTCCACTTTGAGATGAGACAACCTGATAAATCAAGTTCACGTAAAGCACTGAGATACTCCGACATTCGACCCCCCGGCCCAGGCCACAGTGTCCGCACATCATCACCAAGAATCTCATTTTCCCTCAGACCGCGATATACCGGCATATCCGGGATGCAAGCAACTCGAAGCCGGGAAAACTTTTGGGTTGCGCCACCGGCTCCGCAGTATCGGTGGTTGCTCAGTTCACCAGAGGTAGTGAAAATTTCTACGGTGAATGGGACATTGGGCTTCGGCTTCCCATTTTCCACAAACTCGCTCTCCAACGCGTTCATATCCAGGGTCGCCTTCAGCTGGCCTGCACAGGCCCCAGCCTCCAACTTTACTCCGGACATTGGATCTCCTCCAGGCTGAAAAAGGGCTGAGTTGCGGGTAAATATTTGGCACTCGGCACACATTGCATAGCGGGTGACTAAGGCTTCCTCTAAGCTGGTTCCCAAGGAAGCTTTCTCAGGCCTACGAACAAAAGACAACAACAGTTAAAAGACTAAAGGCACACAAAGGCAGAGTATGACTGCTTAAGAAATTCTACTCTACTAGGAAATTATGGGTACCATATTTGTAGACATCCGCTACGAAAAGATAATTACCTACTTTAAGAATGAGCCAGATGTGGGTTCATGAGTACTAAAGTATTTGACGCCTTTGAAGGTCCCGTCATGTCGACCGTTTTTGGGGTTATCCCAGTCGATGCCCAGCCACACGACTGAGGAGTTGGCAATAGGTCCAACATATCTTACTGTTCCGTATTGCTCATCCTTAACAATACGACAACCAACAAGGTGCTGGGACACATCTTTAATGAGGCCAGTGCTTGTTCCTTTGTATACATTTGCGAAGTGAGGGTTGCCGCTAGATACCTCTGCCATCGGCGCAACGAAACTGCGATAACTCGTAAATGTACGCGTAACTTCTATTGGTCAGACCTTATCGTTTGACCTATTTAAACGTGCTAGATGTGACAAAATGTAAATTTTTTCCAGCTTTTGCAGTCGCTTTGCAGGCTTGCATAAAAAATTTTTGAAAAAAGTGTGTGCAATCAGTGTCTTTTTTAACAAAACCCAGAAATCTAAAAATAAATATTGTTGGCGGAATTTACCTTGATTTAATGTACCGAGGTTTTGCATAGTAACTGATTGCTTATTTTACAAATTTTAAAATCCTTCAAGAACATGGGTCGAGGTGTTCTAGTTAAAAACCAAACTGCTCATCGGGATCTCCACTTTATTACTTTTATTATATGTCACACAACGCAACTCATCAAATAGAGTGTAAGGGTGCATGTTAGCACAAAAATGAATAAAAAGTAGTTAATGTTGGCAAGGAAAGTATGTATCCGGACTAATTATGGATAATGTTATTCATAAATGCCGCAAAACTCTGAGGAACGATCAAAAGTTTTTCAAGCACTGTTGGTGGGCCAGAAGTGTTTTTTTTTTTAATTTTTAAGTCAAGTGTCACAATTTCATAAATTCGAATTCAAATATTCGGAACTTCGATGTAACTTATAAAAATTGCCGAAATTCGTACCTTACACACATAATGAATAAATGTAGTTTTAGATATTCGTTGCTGCGTGGTGGAAGCTTTGTTATAGGAAAATTGCAATTCTTCGTGCTAAAGATTAATGCAGAATATCATACATATCTTATAGCGGATAGAGTTAAAGACAATATGGGCCTAATACACGGAAATTATTTCCTGCTAGTCATCTTAAGCTTTTTCTCAAAACAACCATAGGTTATAAATTCAAGAATTTTAAGTTCATGTACTTTTGTTTGTTTATGATTAATGTGGGAGTATATTTTTCGTTAAATAGGCCTGTGGTCGAGTCCAAGTGTTTCTTGTCATTGTTTTCGCATTTGTTTTTAACCTTCTCATTGGTTAAGTTTAACTCATTTTTCGAAAAAAATTGCAAATTTAATTCAATTTACAAAGTCTGCGTTTTGAAACTTCACCACAAAAACCCACATATTGTATTTTTAAACTCGTCACAGTTATTCTATGACTAGTGCCGTAATATCAGTATCCAACCTGAAGGTAAAACAGGAGCTTGAATAGTATTGTTAGTGAGCAAGTTTCACTATTTGTAATTTCTGCTTGTGTTTTTCATGTTGCTTAATTGCCACTTAACACATTTCCTTAGTACCATACAGAAACTCCCCTATTCCATAGAAGCTAGTCAGAATTCTGCTTTGTCGATCAGATCCTAAAGGATAAAAACTGTCAAAATTATTCGTCTACCTATTAAGCTGTGTAAAATTGCAAATAAAACAATTAGGCTAAAAAGTTAGCATTCGAGATGTTTTTTCTCTACAAACAACACCAGCAAATTTAACACAACTTATTAACTGTTTGCGAAATTAGTTTAACGCTAGCAATTAACTACAATTGACTGAATTATGGTAGTAGAGGTGAAAATAAACACGCTTTGACTTTTGATCCAATAACATGTGCCAGTTACAAATTCTTAAATAGTAAATTTTTTTCTAAACGTGTTACCATTCTCTTAACCCTAAGTTGAAAATGGACCTTATTTGCGTCTGTTACACAACAGGCATTACAACCCTACCACAGCATGAAGTCTTGCACTTCCATCGTTTACACTAAAGTCTGTGTTTATGTGAATGCCGCCTTATAAATGCGGTCATCATAGAACCAGCCAGGATCATTAATGCATCGTTTAGTTGTGCTGCTCGTCACCTGTGGCAACCTTCTAATTGAAGGTCACGTAGTCTCCTGGAGCAGCGTTCGTGGCTACTCCAAAGCTGTCGTGGTCAACACGTGGCCTCTGAAGGAGCCCAACGACGCCGCATGGAGTCAAATCAACAAGCCGATGGGGTCAGCGGTCGCAGCCGTTGTCGCTGGCTGCTCAGTGGCTGAGGCGAATCGATCGATATATAGTGTGGGCCCTGGGGGTTCACCGGATGAAAACGGCACCACCACACTCGATGCCATGGTGATGGATGGGGACTCAATGAACGCAAGTCATTCTACATACTACTATTGCATCATTAGTAGTGGGTAAATAGAGATTGTGCATTAACCTGCCGCATTAGTCCAATAACCGCCAAGGTGATTAAGTAATTTCGGATTAATTATGCTTTAGAGCTGCTAAAAAATAGTGACGAAGATTATTTAGGCCGCTTTATGAAGGTTCAAGCAACGCCGAGGTGGTTTAGTTCAAAATAAACACGGATCGACAAATTTATTGGCATATTGTGTGCTAGTCTGTCACATATTTCGGCTTTAAAATACATGCTACTGATTTATTTTAAGTGCCGTTGTTAAATTAAGCCCCACAACATCGAAAACCACACAACTGCATACTTTAGGTGGGCGCGGTAGCGGCAATGCCGGAGATAAGGGAGGCCATTAAGGTGGCCGAAGGAGTGCTCCGATTCACACGCCACACACTATTGGCTGGTGAGTCGGCAGCGCGGTTCGCGGAGTCGCTGGGCTTCAAACGCACCAACCTCTCCTCAAACGAGTCCATCAGGGACTGGAAGGCGTGGAAGGACGGGAACTGTCAGCCCAACTTTCGAATCCCTTCAGCGTGGATTCCTGATCCGAAGAGCCACTGCGGTCCATACCATGGAAAGAACAGAAGTCATGTCGGTTAGTCGTGGTGCTTTGTTGATCAGAGACATATGTTAAATCGATAAATTCTCCAGAATCATATAGAGTCCTTGCAATGTACTTTTGCTAGATATACTGCATTATCGCCCGGAGTTAGGAATTGATGAGACGAATCACGATACGATCGGGATGATAGCTCTTGACAGACGCGGGAGGTTGGCTGTAGGCCTCTCCACAAACGGAGCTCGTTTTCGCATACCGGGCAGAGTTGGTGACAGCCCAATTCCCGGTGCTGGCGGTTATGCCGACAGTAAAGTGAGCGACTACTGATGTTTATTAAGTAGCCAGTGACATATCAACTACGAGACGTCATACAGTGACACTTGTTCCTTTTGTAGGTTGGTGCTGCTGTCGGTACCGGAGATGGTGATGTGATGATGCGTTACCTTCTCACATTTCGGGCAGTAGAGTTAATGCGAGTCGGTAAAAACGCCACCGAGGCCTGTAGAATGAGTCTTCGATCGGTGCGTCAGGTAAATTTCCGGTCAATGTCATCTAGCAATCATTTACTTGTAAAATTGTTGTGCCTGCAGTAACAAAATAGGCCCACACCATAGTTTGCTCACAAACTCAGTGCACCCTTGCAAACTCCCAGGGTGAAATCTGCCAGTCCAACGTGCCTCATGCTTACGTGAATTGAGACCCACAGAAATTCACAAATATTTACCGCGGATTCACTCAAATGATTTGCCAATTTTCCCCAGATAAACCCCAGCATATTCTATGTGTCTAATGCGTGTTATTGGCCAGACGAGTGGACGTTTTTTGCATTTTTGCATTAGCGAGGCACGTGGTACGGTGCTCTGGTGGCTGTTCGCGCCGACGGTCAGTACGGTGGTGCTTGTGTGGGCTTCCAGAATTTCGCCTTCGTCGTGCAAAACGCCAACTCTGCGCGCGGTGGAAAGGTGATCAAAGTGTGGTGCGTGGAGCCACGTGACCTGCTGAAATGACTCCGCGCAACCACAGGTTCGCCTTTCAGCTGACTTCGTTGTGTCCAAAACATAGCACAGGTTTAAGTTAGCGGAATGTACCCCCATTAAATCGCTCATCTCTGCTTTGAATTCAGACATATTAAAATAAATTGGCAGTTTATGCGCGTGGTCATTCGCTATTGGCTAGTTGAATGTCCAATGATTGATTTATATTTCAGCGCCAAGATATGACGCAACGCAACTGACAGTCTAATCGATGCACGAAAATCAATACCGAGTGAGCGTATTCTGTGCATCGCTTAGCGACACCCAGAGTTAAAAAACAACGTACTGAATGTTGCGCAAACCTTCGCCTTAGTTATAGCCATGTTCCAACCTAGTCATTGAGTTTCACAAAGTCTTACCTGGAACTGCAATAGCCATGCATCATGCTACACAAAATTTGATTGGTTGAACTTTTACGATTGAATTTAAGGTCGTGTGTGCGCGTAAAGCTGAGTGCCAACTGGTTCGTGCGCCAGAGAAGCAAAGTAAAATATTTTACGGAAATTCAAGCGCATTAAATAACTCCAGTTGACTAAACGAGCAGTCGTAGGTTTGGAGGAGCATTTTCAGAGAAAAATTTCAATTCTAGATTGCTTTTAATGATGTTGACGGATGTGGTGCGTTGTCTTGGAGTTCACGGTTGGGGTGATAACATCAACCTTCTCTTTCTGCCCAGAAAATTCACATACTACTGAATGTACCACGACTTTCGTCTTATGTACGAATATTAATTAATACTGTGGGTTAATGACGAAGGCTGGTCATTTAGTGATCAGGAAGGAGTGAACAGTCCATTAAAACAACAACCACGGCTCGCCCTAAAGCACCGACTAGTTGAATCCACACCTTCTCACGTAGTCGCGACAGCTGTTTGTGCGACTTAGCATCGGATTGTTTCACATGATCAACGGTAGATGCGAAGGCAGATTTGAGAACATGAAATAGTCACGCGGCAGAGTCAAGTGCTTTAAAAAACAAGCTGGTGCACATGGACTGCAGGACGCGAGCTCTGATGTTTGCCAAACCACTTAATCATGCGTTCTCATTGTTCTACCCCAGCGAACGCCATCTACTCACAAGTAAATAAGTATTTGGGGACCCCATCACTTTCCACACAAATCTAACAGTCTCTGATGTAGCATAAGCGATAATTTGTTTGAAATACATAAATTCGAATTGCCGCTATATTCAAAGATGCAGTAGAAGGCAGCACAAAATGCACTGATGATTGGTAAATGAGTTCGTTTACTGACAGCTGGGGGACAGTAAGATGATAGTGAGAAAATCCATCACTCAAAAGTGTGGGAAAAGTTAGCAGACCAAGTAACTTGGAATTCTCACACAAAACTTGGCAACAAAAGCAGTTTGATGGCAATTTTGATATGCTGCTGGCTACGTCTCAATGTATTGCTACACACACCGCTAGATTGTCATTTGATAAGGCTAGCAATCTGGGAAAAAAGGCAGATGAGTTGTCTCCGATCTGGAAATCTCTGATCTCAAACAATTGTTGTAACCATCGTTGGCTTGGGTTGGGTTCTGCTGTTGCGTAGGAGGTTGCGGCGTTCGGAGTGAATAAAGTCTTCCATACGGGCTTTCGTCAATTTCTCCAGGATCTCATTGACCTTCAAAGTGCAAAATGGACCAATAAGATTGCAACAAAAGTGCACTGGCACTTCAGTGGACTTAAAAGTTCAAAGAGTGCAAGATTTGCTTTTATTTCAGAACCAAGATGGATTCCGCAGGCAGTTGGCATCAGATGCAAATCCTTGTACAGAAAGCTCATTTTTCAATCAGCCGATAACTTCTGGCTTTCGATGGGACCAATTTGTTTTACTGCGGTCTGTTGCTAGCTCTCTGATTGGTGCACGCGCTGAGGGCGATTTTGAACGGTCGAAATCGCGCTAAATCTTATTCCAGCAGCACCGAATTAAATCCTTCAAAACTTCAGAAGCATGAGGTACTTAAGCAAGCAACCCTTACCATTAAAAGGAGCGTTTCCAGTGGAGAGACCCGACTAGCTTTTGGCGACGCCGCCCCATGAAGAACTTCCAAAGCCTTGGACAAGGACTGAATGCGAAATGAAGTCCGTCGGGCCAAACTCTAGAACGTCAAAGTCGTTTCCAATGAAGATGATATGCCCATGGATAACCAAATTTACTGGGGAAATATGCACAAATCACCAGTTTTGACTAGCGCGCGAGTTAAGCGTTGAAGGACTTTTGTGTTCTAGGGTCAAGAGACGACCTTGAATCGTGAATGTACTTTAGTTTTGTTGTCGTACAATTCGCAACTCTTATCTGAGAGTGTGAATGGATGCGTTGATGGATGGATGCTTTGATCAACATTTAAGTGGAATTCGTTGTTTAAATGTGATCTTAATCAGTGCACTGACTGTTACTGAGAAACCACCTCTCTAACTGACCCAGTCTAGCTCAGAAAACGTCTAGAACAAGCACGTACGCGTCCGTTAACAGGGTACTGCGTGTAGTGTCGCTCGAATGCCTCAGCGGGCATGTCCGGTTTAGAGGTGCCCATTTTAAAATTGACCCGCGCGCTGCGTAGACAGTCGGTGTTTTCTACAAACGCAGATTTAAGCGCCTGCTCTATCCACTGGGTCAAGTCGCTGCGCACTCCCACAACTGCCTCTGTGGTGGGCTTTTCTTGGTAAATGAAAACAATTTGGTTTTAGCGGTGAAGCAGCACAAGTGAGAATTGTGCAAGTCAGTAGTGGGTGCAAGGTACAAGACGCGAATCACGAAGACACCCTACCAGGGGACTGAAACACTTCCTCCAAGCGTTTTGTAAATTGACTGATGAATTTCTGGCTTTCTTTGAATTGTTCCTCCAAAGCCATTTTATACGCCTCCACGGATATGTTCAAGTCGTCCGCGCGAACCCTTTGATACGCCTCCTATCACAAGTAAGTCAAACTGAGCGTAAGTAAATAGAAATTAAGCATTAAAACTCGAAATGCTGCAATCGACGCCTCACTCTGGCCTTCAGATCTTTTAGGCGCTTTCTCAGGTGACTGAGTTGCAGGGCCTGTGCTGACTCATATTCCGAGAGCTTGTCGCTCGACGCGTGCGAGGGGAGGCGATAAACATCGTCTCTTCCGCCTTCCCATTCCGACGTCGTGTCCGGCTGTAAGGATTCCTCGGGTTCGATTCTCGGTATTTCTTAAAGATTAGAAAAATCCAGGTGTGTGTCACTAACAATTTTGATTGGTTCTCAAAAGACTCTTGACGGCCTAATTACGTGGCCACAGCCTATTTGGTCAATTGGAGGTCAGTCGAAGGTGACATTTCTGGTTACTAATTCTTATGTCGTTGCAACCTTTTGCAGTGATGTCTCCTTCTAACGTTTTCGTGTTTCATAAAAATGAGTCAGCATTCACTCATGTTACGCACACTTCGAGCGGTCCTTTAAATAAAATGACGATTTATGCAAGTGGAATTGATCACATATGAGGTCTAATAGATGAAGTGCAAAAGTCAAGGTCACATCCACAAAGGTTTGATCATGTGACCTTTCTATACTTCTTCAAACAAGGATTCAAACAGCTGGTAGCCGGGCCATTAACGCATTCTTTCATTTTATTATAATGACGAAGTTAGGCACTATGATTTTGCAACATCGACTGACACGAAGCAATGAAGACGAATGTGCCGTGTTCAACTGAAGGCATTTAAAAAAACTCAGCTAGTCACGCCACAAAGCCTCATGCAGAAAAGTGCTTTCCCGCCAAATTTTACAATTAATCACCTGTTTGATGAGCTTAAACTAACCATTAAATATGTATTGCAGTGATATTAAACTAACAACGCAAGCTCCCTTTGCCACGTGCACAAAAACATTCATAAAACTCACGTTTGGCTGCACTTCGAGTCTCTTTTATGGCTAACTGGAGCTCGGCAACCATTTTTCGCAGTTGTTGATTTTCTTCCTGTGACCTGAGGATAAAAAAACAAGAGTAAAGCCTTAGACTCTGCAACAAATTTTTGCAATATACGTTGCAGACACTGAAACCGATCTGGCGCATGGTTTTAATGATTTTTTATTCCAAGACAAACACGCGGGTTTCTGTTCATACATTATTAATTGCTTCAAAGCACAACAAATGTGCTTAACTAAATAAATGGTAGCTGCAATTTGCAAGGTCTTGCCGCAATGAGCTCTCTACTTCGCGCAACGACACATTTTGAAACAGAACGAGGAAAAGTGTGGTGAGGGATCAGTTGCCTAAGGAAAAGTTGATATTATGCAAAACAGGAATTCTCGCATTTTAAAACATAAATTGGGTAAAAAATTATTGAAACTAAAAAGCTGTCTTAGGAATCACTGTTATCAAGTTGGGGACATAAAATTCAAATTACGTGCACATGTAATTAGTGGAATGCACAAATTTTACCGTTTTATACACTTTTCCCATGCGATTGTTTGACTTTCCAGTCTCCCTTGGGCTAGAGCTAGTTCGGCAGAAAGCTTCTCAATTTCCTAGATATAAAAAATTTAATTTAATAGTAAATTAAGCCCTCCATTTCCTTTAATCTAAATCACTTACTTTTTTTGACGCGCATTCGGTCGAGACTGTGGCCATGAAACTTTCTTCATCAATTTGTTTGCATTTATTCAGCTATAAAAATAGTGAATAAATTAGTTCGATTAAAGGTAGTCATCATAAAAACATTTAATATCTAATTTTGATAAGTAAAGCAGTTAAAATATGGATTCTGCATGACTAACAATGACTTTGGGTGTCAATACGATGGAAAAGAAACAAAGTTACATTCGGTGACACAAATGAGGTGGGCTGATAATTGAAGGACTATGAATATGTCAAAACAAAATGACAAACATCCTTAACAGAAGTTAAAAAAGCCAAAATTAAACATTTTGACCCACCTCCCTATGAAAAACACGAAGGGCATGGTTTTTGGAGTCCAGCAGCTGCCGTAATTCTTTATTTTCGGACCGAAGAATGTGTATTTCCTAATCAGTAATAGACGTCAATTTATTTACAGAGAGACGTACGCTTGCTGCGGATTGTAGTAGTGCATGCAACTGAGGGCTGCATTGCTTGTGCAGCTCTGGAGACCTATGGGATGCTTTAGTTGGGTAAGTGGTAAAAATCAGCAGCTTTACGCGCTTGTTGACACTTGTGAGAATGGACAGGACATTTTCTTTCGCATGTACACGCTATCATTTCTGTGCTGCTGCATGATTCCAAACTTTTGCGTAAGGGTCTCTTTACTTCTGCGATATCAGTAACTTCAGCCACCGAGCTATCTGGTGTGGCCTCATTTACTTGGCTAATTGGATTTGAAGACATTGGATTACCAGGCTTCACTGTTTTGAAAAAGCCTAATTCAGCACTTTCAATTACTTGCCTAAAAAAGATGAAAACATCAAACAAGTTAGGGGTTAGAAGTCACCAAATTTGCAGCCGAGCCAATTTATTCAGCAATCATTTAGTCTCAAAATTTTAAAAAATTAACGGTAGTTATTACTTTAAAATAAAAATAAGACTGGACTACAGATGCATAAAGTAACTAATACCCAAGTTACATCAATTACAATTTTTACTTGAAAGTTCGGGGGCGTCTAAGTGGTTTAAAAGAAATTATGCAAATATTTGATGTCCTTAGGGATTAGTTGCAATCGAATATTATTTTTAAAAAAAAATTTCGAAAACTTTTACTTTGAAAGTGGTCGTCTTGTGGTTTACATTTATCATTATTTAGGCAAGACGTAAAATGTAATTATTTTTTCTGTATGGTAGAGTTAACTAGTTATCCATTTACTCAGTCTGTATTTTGTGCCAGCACAATTATTTTGAAAGACATTACTTGAATACAAGGCTTTGAACCAATCTTAAATACACAGAAATTTGTTTCCATGACGATTATATACGGTAACTAAAGTGTATTTCCGAAGTCTCAAGTCGCAACAAACTTTGTAATATCTTGGTGTCCGATACAACACACTACAGGTAACTTATTCTGCACTTTTGGTTTAAGATGGTAGAAGATTCACATTACTGTGCCCCTTTTCAAAACAAAGTGCTTATCAAAATGTCAAATTATTTCGAGACTGTGTTTATTAGAAGCAGATTTTATTTAGGTCTCACTTTGATGTATTATTATACCGGTTGCCTTTATTAATTTCAACATCCATTGACCATTCATATACAAGGACTAGGGTAAATAGTTTTTCATATTTACTTGCAACAGCAAACCTTCTTTAAGCGCATTGTCAAATTTATGATCATTGCCTGCTAATATTTTGATGATAGAAATTCACTGACCTCAAGTCACCTTGTCAAGGCCAAAAGATTCATGTACCTACAGCCTTACTCGTTTACGGTGACCACTTACATTGGAAATTAAAGCTGCAAAAACCTCATTTCGACTCACAGCTGCAGTTTTTGGGGAACATAAACTTTTTTGAAATACGTTAGTAAAAGAAACATGAACTGCAAATATCAAATTTCGCCAATAATAGCTGATGAAGATCGCAGCAAACCCTACTTAATCGGATGTTCAATTATTAAAAAAATGGAAAATAATTCAGTCATAAGTCAATCAAAACACAAAGCCGACTGCAGAAAAGTAGATGCGGGCAATGATAAGGTGGATGATGTATCGAAAAAAATCGAAAATAACAGCGTTCATAAATATTCAATTCTTTATTAAAAGAAAAGAAGGTTGAATATAACAAGACGCCCTTAATTTTGTGAATTTAGACATCAACAATTCCGAAAGTCAAAACTTTAATCAAGGAGAATCTCGATCATTTTCTTAAGAACCTGGAAAAACCAAATAACTTCGTCGATGGTCTCTCAGGAAAAAAAACACCACATGCTTCATTCAAGGGCAAAAAAAGCACAAATTCGGCAAAAACCAGTGATGATTTATTTATTATTTTCAGAGGCAGACATATCTCCACCCTTTGCAATATGATATCTGCCATTTTTCTTTTCAAAACCCTGATTTTATGTCACACACTCTTTTCTACAATTTGACAACCTTTAAATCGATACTTCAAATGACAGTGTTGAATATTTAAACATGCTGACAATTCAAGTGCAACTTGCAGCTGAATTGCTACTATGATTGTGTAAAGTACAAAGTAATCAAGCGTGTCAAGCTCAAATTTGTCCACAAGAGACAATAAAAACCAAACTCAGCATTCGAGGTTGCAATTGCAAGAAAATTTTCTCTAAAATACACGTGGACATCTCTGTTCAAATGCTAATAGATTCTTGATTCCGTGAACTCCATACACATGCTGCCGGCATGTCCACAACGCAATCAAAGTACTCACATTACACTGCACAAACTCATTCGCAACATTACCTGTTTTGGATAAAATCCGGATCTGCATTTGATCCTAGTTTAGGTTCGCGAGTACAAGACAAACCAATGTGGCAGCGCAACTTTGGACATTGCAAGGGCGTCACAAGCATGAAACATTCGTTTCATATCCACAAGTCGAAAACAGGAACTTGTGAAGTTTAATTCAGATGTTTGGTTACCAAGGCTTGATTTGACGTCATAATGATTGCAGAAACAAGGGCAGTCCGCATTTTCACAAATGTCATCCACATACTTGCTTGATTACGGGGTGACGAAGATTTAACTCAGTATTTACGAGGCGCTTGTTTCCTCCATGATGTACTTGTGTCTGGCCGATGTGGTAGCAGAATTTGTTGCGGTCTAAATCTACGTACGTGACGCGCCAATTTGTGCGCCGTCGACGCAACAGACGTCATTGCGAAACGAGCCGGACGCGAATGCTGCGCCAGATCCGAGGAGGCGTCAATTACGACCTCGCTAACGCACACCGCGCCAACCCTCAAATGCGTCCATGAAGAAACGTTAACACCGGAGCACACTGGAGCAGATCAAGTGAACAACCTTCGATCAGAAGACAATTTGTCTACAACAATGCCAGTGATAGTGACTACACTTGTGTCTTAACTCCACGTCAAACTGGCGACATTGATAAATAATTGATGTGCGTATTTCACAAAACGACGACTGTTTCGTTGAGAATCTTGCGAAAGCTGTCGTGGCTGGTACGCAGGGCGAAATCAAAATAATTTCCTTTTTCACTAATAACCGATTTCATCCAAAACAGCATTTTGCAAGCAATATCGTCAATCGAATAAACCACATTTGTTGGTAAAAGTAATGCCGACATCTTGTCTTACACTTGAAAAAATTCCCGCTACTCACCCCACCTTAATCGTGCCTGAGTGGCTAACGAGGAAAAAGAGAAGCAGAAATCATTTCAAGCATGCGTCAGAGCATCTCATATCAACTGTCGGATCTGCCAGCTTATTTGTACGAGGCATCAAAGGACACCTCGTTTTGCTGCCCCACAT